AGGTGACCGTGCGTAGAGAGTGGCCAAGGAGAAAGAGGGAGTCGGCGAGCCACGGCAAGGATCCCGGAAATGGTCCTCCCAGGGTGGAATTTAAATAAGATTCTCGACAGCGTCGTAAATCTCCAGAAGTCCAAAAAAAGGCCACGACTCTTGGCGCGGGGAGACCTGAAAACATAAAAAAGTGCGTTATTGATCGAAGATTAAAAAGTGAACGAGGAGTCGATGTCGTTTTGACAGCGTACTTCCGATTTTCAATTGTTGTCAATACGCCCGATATTCATTTCCCCAGTTGGAAATATCGATGCACGCGAAGGAATACCGATTTAGCGCAATTCGCTCGCCAGGGCGCGGTTTTTTTTCCGCGAGAAGCAACGGTTCGACTTTTTGGTCGATTCCGAAATTGCTTCGTCGCGTACGAACCGTGAGGCGCGTTGACCCGAAAAAGGGGATGAAAAAATAGAAAATAGGAAACAGAGCCCTTCGACCCTCGCGTCAACGAAGCTAGAACAAAAACAAATATCCCACAAAGCTATTAAAAAAAAAGAATAAAAATATCGCTTTGCCAGCCGGAATTTATGTCGAATGGAAAAACCAGCGGAACACTTTTTCAATATCCATCGGAGAGAGGAAACTCGGGACCGACACTGAAATTCCGACTTACAGGCTCGTAACGGTGATCTTGCATTGACAGTTGCAACGGGGAACGGAAGTGTCGTCCGACTAAAACCCGACAGTTTTATTTATAACTTCTCCGAGAGGAAAGTTCCTAGCCGCTTCGAAGCGACTCCCGACAGCGGCGGAATCCTTTATTCGCCCCTTATTCGCATTGCGAATTGCATGTCAACGGAATAATGTTTCACGGATTGCGCCTCCCGGAGGCAGAAAACGGTGACGCCTCGTCTGACCCAGAAATATACTTTCCCCTGTCTTTAAACTTAAATTTAATTTCCGAGCTGGCTTTAAACGCTAAGCTCCCAATAACTAGCATCCATAACTCGGGGCACTCGGGAAACTTCCTCACTGCGCATCCGGAAAGTGCAATATTTAAGTCGCCCTCGGTTTCCTATACAGCGGTGCTCGTTTCGCTCCTTATTTCTCAACGGGGAAAAGTAAACCGGGGGCCGTATAAATCGCTTCCCGGGATTATTGCCTGTTAGATGGAGACCCGAACCGTTGAGAAATTACTTTCCACCATCTGGAATTAATGACGGTCCCGATATTGTGCGGGTTTAATTAGTTCGACGTCGGGGTTACGTGGGTTCAGTCTCCCGCGAACAGAAGCGAAGAAAAAAAGATTCGGTAGGAAAAACAAATTAAACCAAAAACGCGACGTTTCATTAAGTCACGGGAAAACGAATCCACGTCTCTACAATTGACTCTTGGGTTCAGGCTCGGTCAATTTGCGCGGCGGATCGACGGTGCGTAAATCAGGCGAAATGGCTCTTTCAAGAGACTTTTTCTCCAATTAAGAGTGGCCCCACGAAATGGAGCTTACGCGAACGGGTCGAGGTCCCTATGTGCGAATCGATCGAACTTTCCCGTTTAAATTGGCCGTCGTAGTCTACCTTCTTTTTCTTTTTTTTTCCTTTTTTTCCGGGCGTTGACGAGTGCCCCTGTAAACCCGGCGCCTATGCGAAAGTGTCGGGGTCTGTACGGCAACGCGGCGGTATATCGTCCATCGGTTTATCGATTTGTCACCGGTGGCTTCTTCTCCCGTTATACTCTGCATATAGTCGCAGGCTGGACGAACAAGAGTGGCTCTCCGGTTTTCTGCTCCGGTTTTCCGCACCGCGGGTCCCAGCTCTCCCCTCGGGTCCTCCGTGCGCGGCCCTGCAAAATCCACCCACGAGATAAGCCTTCTTCGACGTAATTTTCCGGAAGACCCGGCGCACCGTCCATTCGGGCGTCACCTTGTCCCGCGAGGAGTTAATTTTAATCTTAATGGAGTATAGTACGCCCCGGTTTATCCCGGCCCTCCTGGATACGACGTCGTTAAATTAATCCCTATGCCCAACCGAGCCGACTCGTCCCAGACGTGGCACGGATCCTCCGGTCCCTTCCTCCTCCGACTCGTCGTAGAAAGACTCCCGAAAGGGGATATAAACCTCGCAGGGGCTGAATAACCGCCAAAAGTATGGAATCCGACACAATGGCTCGCTCGAGAATGGCTGCCCAGGTACTCGAGTACCTCGCCACCGAGAGGCCGTGCCCGGCCGACGAGTAACTGGCAAAAGTAAATTTAGAGGCGCCTTGAATGTCGACCTTTTCGGCTCGAGTGGGTCACTTAAATACCGCGTTTCAACCCGTGAATCGCGCGGCTTTTTCTAGGTTCCCGGAACGCCGCTCATAATTACAGGCACTGGTCCGCTTGCCGAGGTAAATTCAGAGCCCGGTTATAAGATAGGCAGGATATGAAATTATTTTCACCGGGCCGAATGGAGTTACGGAAATTTCAATGAATGAAATTCCCCATTACCTAGGAATTCGACCGCCAGGACCCGAGGATTCTCCCGTGCTCCCTGGATTTTCTCCCTAATGTCCCTACGTCCTCTCCTGGGTACCTCGGCGAGAGTTATCCCAGGGATTTCGCGTTATGGTCCGCGACACCGGGCTCTGGTTCCTTCTCACGAGCTGCGCTTCGTGCTCGGAATCTTAACTTCGCTACGGCCTTAAGCACTAGAGTCTATTCCTGAAGCTTTCTCGGTGTTCTAAGAATGGGAATGCGACAGGTGTGTCAAAATCGTCGTGGTCCGTTCGGTCTTCCTCCTCTCGCCGTTCTGTCCCTCCACTTGCAACTCCTGGTACGAGTTCGTCTCATTTCGTCCAGTGGGTGTTGGGCGATGGGTGGTGGGTGGTGGACGATGGATGATGCCTCACGCCAGACCCCGTACACCTCCTTCTCTTTCCGCACCTTCAATCTGTTTACTCACCGGCTGACTGGCGTTTCTCTTTCATTCCGTTACCTCCCGGCCCGAAGCCGTGTTAATTCGTAATTCGATGATTAAACAGCTTAAATTACCGGCGAATCCTCGGAAGTGCTCTCTCTTCCCTCGTTCCATCCCAGGCATTCAGGCTTAAGAGCTTGACTAACCCGCTTCCGGTTTTAACGGACGTAATCCCGGCGCAGATTTATTCCCAAATTTGGATGGTTATTTTTCCTCCGCCGGGAAGCTGGGAAAAATATTACAATTGCTTTAGGACCTTGTAATATGATTATTAAGGAGAACCAAAACAGGGCAATTAATTCCGGGAAGGGTACCATTATTTACGGTGCAACTTCCGGAGTATTGTAAATAAGAATCTCCGATTATTATTTATAAGACCTTCCTTAATTCCTTCCCTCAGCACGCCACGCCGTGTTGAATCATAATTCAGCGGCGTAACAGTTTTTACGCTTCCTCCTCGCGTCAAAGCGTTCCATTAATATTTATTTATTCCGTCGCATTGGGAGTACTAACGCCCCCTAATGCCCATCCGCTAGTTGAGGCGCTTCTATTTGTAATTTTAAATTGAAAGATCATAAATTCTTCCCAGCTCTCTCTTTCTCCCCGCAAGCTCTCGGTCTTCCGATACTTGCCTTGCAAAAGGTTCCTCCGGTAATTACCGTAATCTCGTGCGATTCTCCCAAAACTTTCCGTTAAATCTCTCGCTCGATCGGGTCGAAGGACCTCTTTGTCAGCATCCCTTTGGATCCCGTCGAGAACCCATCTCGATCGGTCCGCGTCCTTGCGGACTAACCCATTTAACAGAGGCCGTCCTTCGGGCGGAGAGAAAAGTTGAATTGCCGTGGAGAACTCGTTTGAAAACGCGATAATCGAGTTTTCGTCCGCCCGTCCATTTCGCCGTAGGTGGACCGTGTTCGATGGCGGCGGTGGAGCCGATATTCAGGAAATGGTCCTATCGTACGCACGCCGTAATCCTTCGTCCCATCTCTTCCCTATCGGGCCATCGATTATTCCCATCGAATGCGAATTCCCTCTTAACGCCGTGTGCTCTCTAGGTGCCCGTCCCGCGCCTGGGAAAAATATCGAGCATTTCAATTGATGGCGCCCTTAAAAATGTCAGATTTGCTTATTCCCGGACTCGGTTTATATACGCCGGGATATATACCCCCGTATTTATGCGTGCCAAAGAATTCAGAAATCCGAATTCTTTGTGTATACTTACGAGAGGTGGTCAATGTTTCTATCTCCCTGAGATTCAAATCGCGCGCCGTAACTCTTACCGACATACCCGCTGTCGAAAAGAAATACAATAATTTGCATAAATTTCCTCACGTTGGGGAGATATATCTAACACACCTAAAATGGAGAAATAACGCTCAATGGAAGAGGGGATAAACCTTAACCTCCAAATTAACATTACCCACCGTGAAGAAAGACGCAGTGGAGGCTGTTGCACGCCGATTTGCATAGTTGCGGAAAGTTCGGCGAATCAGGATCCTACGCAGGGTTCCTTATGCACGGCTTACAATTGGCAGGCTTCCTCGTGTTCGCGTCAGGGCATTTATGCACATTTATGCAGATGCAAAGTGGTTTTAGCTACTAAAAGAGAAAACGTGTTTACCTCTGATGGAATGTCTCGACTAAATAACGTCGCCGAGCGGTGATCGAGAATTAGAGTAGACATTAGAGTTACACACAGAGAATTAGAGTTAGACATAACCTGTCATGACGCGTTCGAATTTATACCTCCTATTCCTATTGAAATAGTAATTCTATCTATTATGTCTAACGAATTTACAGAATCGAGGGCACTCCTTCATAGAGCGATTTACTGTATCAGGGTGGTGATGGATCGCGTTTTTATGGTAACCGGTATCTCAGGCTGTTTGAAAACTCGCGCCATGTTGACTCGAGCAGTAGCGGAACAGGCGGCGCGCGCGCCGACCAATCGGAGCGCGCAGTCGAGGCCGCGGCGCAGGTGGCGCCACCGGGCGGCGGCGTACACGCGACAACGGCGCGCGCAGCGCCGCGCCTCGTCGGGGCAGATCCGTTCGCTGTGCGCCGAGGTGGTGGGCAAGCAGTTTTCCTGGTGTGCCGCGTAGTGTAGTGCTTTTCCCTCGCGTCGTCTCGCGGTCCGTGTGCCAGTGCCCATGAGGCGTACGCGGTCCCACCAACGTATCAAGGAGTGCCTTTAGGTAACCTCTCGCTTCTCGATCTAGATACCTGCGAGCGAAAAACCGAGCACGACGCGCGTCGCGGCGTTGGTCGCTCGGACGAACGCCGCGGCGCGGACTCCATAACAGCCGGCCGCCACGCCGCCGGCACCGCGTCCCGATACTTCCGTTACTCTTTTCGAGAATATTCGAATCCCGCGTTCCAGGTTCTCCCTAGAGGCCGTTTATTGGGAATCCTCGACGTGGGTTAATTCCCTGTCCAGGGATTCTTCTCGCGTGTCCCGGCGGCGCGGACCCGAGAGCGGAAGAGAGCGAGAGAGACCGAGCGAGGTGGCGTCGAAATTTTCGCAACGTTGCCGCCTTGCCGGCGCGGGGCGCCCCTTCTCGCCGATATCGAACGCCGTCGATGCTAACTTCTCCGCGCGGTGCCTTCGATCGCGGCCAATGGACACGAGTCGACGTTCCTCGTCGTCGCTTGAGTTCCCGGACGAGACTCGACTGGATGGAACTCTCGACACGCGGCAACGGCGCCTCGTACCGACTGGAGCGGAGTCGAAAGAGATGGCCTGCCGGGTTCCTCGTCTCGGGCTCGGTCGGTTTATGCTCATTTTACTGGGTTTTTCTCTCTTTTTAGCGCCGCTTGCGGAGCAGGAATTCTCAGGCCGTCTCACCTTAACGAGGAGCTTGCTCCGAAGTGGCGTAGGTTATATCGAGTGAAATGCAGTGCTGCGCATCTTAGGGCATGCCGAGGGGGAAGTGGTGTTTCGAAGGATGGTAGAGTGGTGGTTGTGGTCCTCGCTGCTCCGTGCCGATTGCCAAACTGTAGCCCGTCCTAACGGTTACTAAATGCTTCCTGGCAAATCTTCTTCGTCTTGAGTAATCGTGTCGCAATGTATTCCTATTGTTCGCATATATCAAAGAAAGCTCATTGCTAACTCTTGTCGGAAGCTGTACCGATACTTATACGATTCTTTGTAATTCATGTTGTATGATTTATGATTTTAGTTGCAAGGTGCGATAGGTAGAACGTGTTATCGATGGTTTTCAGAGTCGAAGATAAGATTTCAGCCAGGAAGCCGATTTAGTCTAAGGTTCGCTAGAGAAAAGGCTTCGTCCATTGGGAGGTGCAAGGTCTATCGGGGAGTCGTGAAAGTTAACCTAAGTAGATTATAACTCGTACGTGGATTCTGGACTTCCCGGCAACGTTTCATTGCGTGACTGTGGCGGAGAGAGACGTGCGTCATTAAGAGCTCGCCAGAGAGGGAGGAAAGGAGACGTCGCGAGGAACGATCGACCCCCGATTAATTTCCTTTCGCGGAGCACCGAGAAACCCCGCTTTTGTCCCTTTCGCCGCGAGTTAGGTTAGGTTAACTCTTTTTCAGGCTCGCCGTCTCGCTTCCCCTTGCCGCTTGCCGGCGCGGTCTTTCTCTCTTGCTCGCCCGCTCCCCGGTGTAGCTGCGTCTCTCTCTCTCTCGTAATACTTGGCGCTTTCTGGTCGACGACTCGCGGCTGCATTCCTTTCCCCGGTTACGGTCCTCGGCACGCGCCATTCACGACGTCGTCGGAGAACAGCTCCTCCGCGTCATTCTGTCTCTCTCGCTCCCACGCTCCCCGGCTACGTCCGTCCCTCTCGCGCGACTTGGTCGGTAAAGAAGGACGAGCCGGAAGAGCGGAGCGGAGGTAATTGAACGCGCTTACGGGAGAGGAGGATGTTTCCATTTTACCGTAAGGTCCGCTTTCCTTTGACGATTTCACGGGAACGTGGACCTTCGATCGCTTTGCCCGCTCGAATCTCTACGGACTCTTTCATATCAGGTTGTCGAGAAAATCATTCCCGTCTGCGATTTAAAATTTGACTTTATTTTCGAGCAGAATTCTAGTTAGTGGAAGTCTACGCTTGAAAACGGCGTACAACGTGTAGTCTTGAGACGTAAAACCGAAGTTTCTGGAAAGATTCACGTTACTCTCGATTATTATAGTAATTACTTCCGTTGACTGATTGCCTCTTTCGGCTACAATTCGGGACGCGTTGCATCCACCTCGCGACGCCAGTGCGCGTCACGGTGCCCCGTTCCCCCTGTCGCGGACAACGCGCCACATTAATCGCCGCGAAATTACTCCCTGCCGATGGCATTGCAAGAGACGGTGGAGAAATCGCACGGTAATAACCGAGTTCGATGATATTGCACGGTCCAGAGTCCCATCGCGTACCGCGGAAAAGTCCCCGTTCGAACCGCGCGAAATTTGAAATTTCGAAATTCGCACCGGCGGCCGCGGACGCCGAGACCGTTTAAACGTTCTCTTATTACAGACGATTCCTCCGAAGGTGACGAATTTGCACCTGGGAATTCAGGTCCAACGGGAACGTTATCTGTGCCGTAATGGACTCGGCAACGTGGCCGTAATTACCCGCCCGGAGCATTGAAATCGGGCGATATCTCTAACCTTAAAGCTGCGCCGAGGAAAACGTCGGAACCTGCTTCGTAACTCGAGATGAAAAATTGCGCCGCGCGGCTGCCATTAGCGAGTCTTTCTCTCTCTCTTTCGCGGCTTCGCTATAACGGAAAATGAGGGCCGGGGGAAGCCGAGCCGGCGACCCGTCTGCCGCGTCCGCCGATCCGATTGGCCGGCGCGAGCGGCGCCAATGGAAAGCGCGCGCTCCGATTGGCCCAGGCCCCCGGTACAGGGGAAACCAGGTGTCGAAGCGGAGCCGCGCTCCCCACGGGTCGGCGATCGGCCCGCTACGGTTAAGCAAATATATCGCCGAGTTTATTTTACCGCATAAAGCACTTAGTGCAGCCGATACTTCTCTCTGTGCGTACGTATCGAGAAGGCCATATTTTTCACCCTTAGAGATATACTCATTCCGCCATATTGCTACGTGACCGCGGGTCGTTTACAAATACCATCTCATGTTTAACAATTAATCTGCATCCAATATTACGTCGAAAGGGATACTTGTTTTGGGGTAATTCCTCTGTATGCGTGGATGTGGACGATTGTGTACGTGCAATAAGTGCTTCTTGAAGCAGATGCTTATTGGTACGCCGTCTGACTTACCGAGGTAATTAGCGTTATCGGTCGGGAAAAATTCACCGCGCAGTGCTCGCTCTACCGCGGATCGTGCATTATCGCGCCTTGCGATATGACCCCCTCCTTACTTATTAAATAACATTTTCTTTATCACGCGTAACGCCCAGAGCGCGATGCGAGCCATTAACAATACGGAGAGTCGCGATAGAAGGAGATAACTCGATCCTCATTGGGAGTCTCGTTGCAGGGCCGATGATTAGACATTTCGAAATGAAGTTTTACACGTGCACGGCTGGAATTTTTAATTAAGCGCCTGGTCGGGGCCCCGGCTAGGGGGATAGGAAAAAATTGTAATTGAAATTAGAGGCGTTAGTCATCCGGAAGGGCGAGTCGCCCTGGGATTTATTTTATTAATTACCCCTTCGCGTGATTAATAAAAGCGAGAAATCCATGAACAATAATCTTCCTTCACGTAACCAAAATGTTTGGCTTATCGGGCGGATATATCCGGTAGGATATTTCTAAACGATTTAAACAATCCCTTTACGCGATTAACTTCGGTTAAGTGGATTGAAAATTTGGCTCGCTCATCTGTAAATTAACCCCGAATGCTTGTCGGACGAGTTTTTGTCCAATGAACCGAATTTTTCTCTTTTTTGCCCGTGGATAAAAATAATCCCCCCGTGATAACGCTGGGCGGATCGGCGCGATAACGCCACCGGCTTATCGGGGGGCGTCATCGCGTGACATCGCGACACGTGGTCTCGCCCATTTACGGGGTCACATGCAGGGAAATGGTGAAATCGGTGATACTTTTATTCAATCTACCGCAAAATACGTTTATCACGCGGACAATGATTTGATTCGAGCGACGAAGGCATACCTCGATTAATGACGTTTCATTTAATTACTCCGGTTAATCGAAGCTAACGAGTTAGCGGGGGTGAATCGAGATTCGGGACACCTGGAGTAGAATTTTCCATTTTTTTTAAACTATCCGAATTTCGGTTAATGGGGATATCTTGGACGGTGAAAGAAATTTCTTTTATGCATCGCGAGAGACCGCTGGAATTCTCGGACAACCGGAGCGCGACTTTTCCTGCGCATTCCTGGGGGGCAAGAAATAAGAGGGGGGGCGTAAGAAAAGTAAGGACCAGATAATCCACGGCAGCAACATAGACATTATGCCACAATAGAGATTGCAATCGTTACGGGCTGGATTATAGGCCTCGCAGCCGCTGCGGCACGCGCATGCGTTTCGCCTCTCGGTACCGGATGCTCGGTACAGGCCATGGGTACGATCCCGAATGCAAGTCTCACACGTGTCCTGCACTTCTCGCCGAAACTGCATCGTGACCCTCGATGCAGTTCCGGGAAAGAATACAAGAGTTCCCAAAGAGAGTTACCTCCTACCAGGAACTTTAACTGTAGGTCGTTTTGAGAGCTCTTAAGGTGAAGTGAAACCCCCTTCAAATCAGTCGATTTGAATACAACACTTTTTTTTTAAGGGTATTAGACCAAACACGTCACTCCTGATCATCTAAGAATTGTCCTGACCCATTGAAAATTTGGACTTTTGAAAAAAATTTGTTAAATAATTCGACACAGTTGTCAATATAAAAATGAACCGCAACGTAGGCATTTAGAAAAATCTTCTTTATCGACGTCGATCAAGTTCCTCGACGTGTTTAACTTCACCTTAAAAGAGGTCTTCGTTGCATATACTCCGTCTCGTGCTTTTCCCTTGGGAGATGAAATTTGATAAAATTGGAGAAATTCTTTTTATACGAATTCGGAGATTAAATCTCGGCGATTTGACTACGAAGTAGAGGATCGCCTCGTAAGATTACCTTGTAATGTCGTTTATAAATATTTATTCGGAAAACACTAGGCTAGATCGATGCCGTTGGGGAGACTTGATTTATCGGCTGGAATATCTTTGAAGGTTATCGAAACAAGTTGGAGTAGACTGGTGTAATCGAAATTCGAAGTCGATCGTGATGCGCCCTGTTCCCCTAGATAGGGTGTAGATAGGGTCTGAATAGGGCGCTGGATAGGGTCGATCGTTCCGAGTGCTTAACTCGAATTAGCATAAATATGCCCGGTCCGTTTGTTCTCGTCCCCCGGTTAACAAGGCGAGGAGACTCACCATGTTCTCGTTCTTGTTTCAGTACGAAGTCTGAGTCTACCTGGGAGCGTTTAAGGAGCACGTCCCCCGAGTCCCCCCCAGCCAAAATCACACGCCTTACCTCTCCCCTGTCCTCCTTGTCCTCTTCCGGTCCCATACCCCCCGCGAGCTCCGGCAAGATTCGCCGCAACAGCATCAGCCGCATCTCCGCAGCCGCAACCGCAGCCATGGACGGCATCGACAACAAGCCAGTGCTCAACGACGACCCCTCGGTCACCCTGACGATTCGCCTCATCATGCAGGGAAAGGTAAACCCCATATCTTTATTTCTCTCTCCCTGGTTATCGTTCCCTTATCTCTCCGTCTAGCGGGGCGAATCCGCGAATCCTCGAGGGGAAACGCGCCGCCCGTGTCGATGGCTCCTCGGTACGGAAAATAAACCCGTGATTCAGAGGCACGCTCCTCTTGGCACGCTCGCACACCAACCGATTTATTATTGACTCGGGTCATGGATACGTAAGAAAGTCCCTCTCCCTCTCTTCTCTGCTCGCGGGGCGCATGCGCGCAGCCGCGCGCCCGAGCAGCTCATGGAGAAGAGAGGAAGCGCGAGGTGCGACCACCCTAAGGTCGTTCCTGCTTTACGAGCGCCCAAAGTATGATAATTTACTCACTGGTTGGAGATATCCAGACACCGAACCTCGGACTGGAAATGCCCCACCTCGGCAAGTGCTCCGAATTTTTTTTTGGAAAAGGGTCTTTAGAGGTCTCCTTCGAATTATCCCGAATTTTTCTGCCAACAGCGGCTGCGGAAGGATCGATCGTATAGAGATTTTGGATGACGTTGAACCTCGACTCGACTGCGTGGAGGACGAGGGTCGGGATGGTCCAGAGTTATGCACGAAGGCAGACTCGAGCGATAAGGGAAGATGCAGGGTACAGAGAGTTATCTCCGGCGGCCAGGTCGGCAATCGATGACGAAAGTGGCGGCGGGTCGTCGTACCCTCGTGGGGCACCCCGTTCTTCCTCCACGTTCCCTTTCGTCTCTCTTGAGACCCCTGCGGGGGGTCCCTCCCCCTTTTCGGCGACACTTGCTCGCGCACGCGGCCAGGCTCCTCCCCGGATCGTGCCGAAGTGGCGGCCCGGAATTATTGCACGTTTCTGCATATCTGAATGGCGCAACCCCTTTAACTCCTCCAGAGGCCCTGGAAGGAGGCGAGGGTGGTTGGACGCAGCTGGAGGCAAATCCGGCTAGCTGGACGCAGCTGGGGGGCGGATGCTTACGGGGTGCCCGGGGTGGAGGGTCGCGACCGCCCTTGCCGGGCTTCCCCTTCGCCTTCGACGTTGTCTGAAGTGCTTCCGCGTCAAATCTGATTACACCCCTCGTTTTTACACATCTCGCCCCGACCGGAATACGGCTTCGCTCCTCCTCGTCTCCCCCTGGAACCGCGCTTCCTTCCGGTCGTGTCTGTCGGGACCGACCAGCTGAAATTGCTGCGTTGCTATGGCGATGGAGGAACCGCGTCGGTGATCGTCCCCGCGAATACTTATACCACTCTGTAGTGGCATAGCCAGATAAACTGGACAAGTAGGGTACCTCGACAGGGCGAGTTCTACTTTTTCTCGATTTTTCTCGATTTTTCTCGGGAACCTTGCCTCATTTTCTTTCGGTTTTATCCCTCAGGATCGACTAGGTGAAATTGATACCTTGCTCAGTTGAACAGGAACCGCGTGGGTGGCCATCCCCGGGGACACCTACGTGACTCTGTAGTGGCTGGCTGTGCCACGTGGTCAACCGAGGTACCTAGAACAGTCGAGTTCCACTTTGCCGTTTTCCCCCGTGGAACCGGCCCCGGCGGGCAATTCGGCTCCCTAAATAGCGAGAGACCCTCTCGGGTCCCTTATCGGGCTCCTCGTTCGCGCGAAATAAATACGTCTGGCCGCGTTTTTGGCCAGGAGAAGGCGTATTATGTCTGCGCCGCGGTGCGCCTCGCGGACGACGGACTGGACCCCGGCCAGGGCCGACGTCCAACCGGCCGGCTCTCTCGATGCCGAGTCGCGATTCCATTATCGTTCCAATTGCGTCGATTCCGCGACATTGGCGCCCGCAGTCGCCGCTCGCGGTCCAAACGGGTGGAGGGGAAACCCTGCCAACTGGCCACGTCGACGGAGGACCTCTCCTGCATCCAGCATCGATTTTCACCTCTGAGATACCATAAGGACCACTCCGACTACTCGAGTAATGGAACCCTCTGGACACGTGCGAATAACGACGGTTACGGTGCAACAAACCAACCTCGCCTAGAATATCGATCGTTCCCTCCATCTCGAAGACATTACCGATCCTAGAAATTATAACTGCCGATTTAACCGCCGATTAGATCTGTCACGCCGCGAACAGCTGATCGACTGGGATGGACAAACGTGTTCGGTGTTGAAAAAAAAAATATATATATATATGTATTCCAATTTTATTGCAAATGTATTATATTAATTTTAATTATTTTAGGAAATGAGGTAGGATTTGGAGGTGAAATATTGGCGGTTCCGTTTCGAGGTTGATTCGGGATCGCTCGATTAAAGTGCCGTCTTAGGAGGATACTTAGGCTGGAATGAATACGCGTTCTCGCGGGGAGGAGCTCGTTGGCGATCTTCGTTCCGCTCGTCCAGGTGAAAGAGACTCCTGCCAACTGGCAGGCCCCTGGTTGGAATATTTCCCACTCGTCATCGTGACGCATCGAGGCATCCGTCCACTTCTCGTCGTGTAATCGTCGATAGTGACGAGCACGACTGATAGTTCCTCGACGTGCTACCGAGCAGCCTCGAGAAGGAGAATGAACATTTATTAAGACACTCGTGGAAGCTCAAGGTGAAGGTCCCCGGGTCTCCTTGGTACAGTTTCGGGGTTTATATCGAGAATCGTTCCACATTCCACGTGCGCCTTAAAGTCCCGAGCCCGTTACGTCGGGAAGAAGTCACCTTAATTGCTGCTTAATTATTTTTCTCTCTCTCTCTCTCTTTTTTTTTTTCTTCTTTTATTTTCATGCCAATTAATTCGCGGATCTTTTTCGAGCCCCTAGGAGGAGAGGACGACGACGTCCGGCGAGTCCTTTAAGCTCGCTTTGCTCTAAGCTACTTTTTACTACCGCAGAAAACCCCCGGAAAGGCCTTAACGAGGTACTCCTTACAGATGTTCCCTTTCAGAGGCAACGTACAATGTGTAATTGCTGAATGGGGTCTCTTCCCGCGGATGGATATATCCTGGAGACAATGGGATGGCCCTCCCTTGTTACTCCTGAGGACGAAATAAATAACTCGTTATCCCGGGGTACGTTATCGTCGAGTTTCTTGGATTTTCCTTATTAATTCCTCGTCGCTCCTTGTCGCGGTCGGGTATCCCTTGGGACTTTAATGCCACTGACCCTGGCGCTCCTTTTTTATTCTCCGGCACCCTGGAGATTAATCCTGTCTTTCTTGTCCGAATTTCTTTTATCTCCCCCTCCTTTTTTTTCTTTTCTAGACTTCCATAAATCGACCGCTCGATTTCTCGTCCCTTTTCCCGTCCTTTTTCGCGTTTTGGCGGACTTATCCGAGCGTGCAGGGGCCTTTATGGATTCCAGTATCCTGGAGTCGAGCCATGGCCGGAGGCCAACCGGTTGTCCTATTCGGGATTGCACTCCTGCGATATTAATCGCGACGATGTTATCGCGGCGATCCCCCGAGTTGTTTTCCCCTGGGAGTACAACCTGACCACTTGGCCGAACAAGCTCTCCTATCTTGCGCTACGGATTTAATCTTCATTTGGGTCAAGCGATTTTTCAATTTGCCCCGCGGAATATCCGCGCCGGAGCCCTCCGGTGACGTCACGCCGTTCATCCATCGGCTCCGGTTACGGCGAGGTGCGAATTACCCCGCGGCTGTTAGATAAAAGTGCAGTGAACGCGTCGCCTCTCATTTTTCATAGGCTTCCCTTCCGTCATTCGTCGGATCGTGATCCGACCATAATTGTATTAATTGTTAGAAATACTTCTAAAAAATTCATCGTCAGAATTTTCGCGAATTACCAAGGCTGTTAAAAATCCAGCAATTGCGGTCGCTTTTCATTTTTCATAGTCATTCCTTCCGTCATTCGCCGGATTGTGATCGGACTATAATCGTATCCATTCGTCAGTTATTATTGGAAAAAAAATTAATTTTCACGAATTACCAAGGCTGATAAGAATTCAGCGATCGCGGTCGCCTTTTCTCTCCCATAGCCACGCTTTCAATGTTTTGTCAGATGATAATCATATAATCAGTTATACGTGATTGTAAAATAATTAATGATCTCATTTTAAATCTCAGGATTTTTTGATGTTAACGAAAACTTGGGAAAATTCTCTGAATACCATATATATATAAAAAAAAAAAGAAAAAAATCATTTAAAAAATGAATAAACGGATTTCTTCTCGATTTACGTGGCACGGCCCTACATGGGGAGGATATTAATACCCATAGAGAGCGATGCCCGGTCGAGGTTTCGATCATCCGCGAATCCCGCGGGGAAACTCGCGGCAACGCTAAGTGCACGTACGTGCACTCGATGTACCGATTTCTCATCCGGCCCCCTCGACCCTCGCCGAGGAGGGAGAGCGCCCTTCCAGCGCCGATCTCGTAAATTTCCCGAGACTCGTTACCTCGATAATTGGCATCCATCCAGCCTCCTTCCCGACATCCGTCCCCCTGCCGATCCTCCCGTCTCGTTCCAGCTATATTTGTTTCCCGGTCGCTCGAATAACCCGCCGATCTCCTCGTCCAACTAAACTCAACTCAACTCAACTGAAGGGACGATATCAAAACCGATCCTCTATTTTTTTTTAATATTTTTTCAACGCTTCATAAATATATAGTATCAACTCGTTGTAAGAAGAGTGGACCACTTGAAATTTTCCTCCAGTCTGGATCAGCTGGTGAAAATTCACATTTAAAGAAATTTGTTCCTGATATCGGGTTTTATTAGTATTTTTTTTTTCATCGTATTTCTAAACGAGTTGGGGAGAAATTTCATAAAGGTGGCCCGTCGCCTTCTAAACCCGAGAAGACGGAGTGCCCCGGACAAAAATGCGAGAATGTAAAGAGATTATTACGAGGGTCGTGTTTGCAGGAAAACTTTCGTCCCTGTAACGTGACTCTAGGGACCGCAGGGGAGTTTACCGTCGGCGGAAGTTGACGCAAACTCCTCGGCCCCTTGTATATACCCAACCACGTCGAGGTGCACTCCTAGGAGCGCAGTCGATATCCCCTGAAATTAAATGCACCATCGATCCGCCATATCGGATGTGTGTATAGGGACGACTTACACGAGCCCGATCGCACGCCGAGCACCCGACCGTAAGGGAATATTCGGAATATTCGGAATTATCCTACGGACAAAACGGCCGGCTCGGTGGAAAAGCGAGCTGTAAAGTAGTAATGATAATGCGCCTCTCGGAAGGGGGCAGAGGAAAAGGAGGAAAAATCGAACCCGTGATTTTCCAACGCGAGTGGGAAACTAGGCGGTTCGGGTCGTGCCATTGAGTAGAAAGTGGAAACTCCATATACGCGGCTTCAGGTGTTTTACCCGATTGCAGGTGAACTGACGTTCACCTGCGCGTTTCACTGCCACGTAGACGATACACCTCGGTGTTAACGACCACGGAGGGGCTATTTGGCCCCGGGTACCAAGGAATGCACTTTTTACCCGGGTTTTGCGCAAATTCACGGGGGATGTCTCCTTACACCCGCGCCCTTTGGGAGGTCCTTTTTAATTAGATACTTCATGTCGCGTCAGGTAACCTCCTCGGTGACTATCTTTTATTAATTACTGAGAGCGCCATGGTATATCGCTTTTATAGTACACTTCGCTACCCCAGGTTTGGGTGTTTCTAGAATTTTTTCTTTTTTAACAATACTTCAGACTTGACCATCCCTCGCTCAGCTCAGAAGTTTGGATATTAATTCATACGTTCGGTTATGTTTCATGCCGGTCGACATTATAGGTAATTATGAGAGTACTTGGTACTCGACTTTCTCGCAATTAGGTTTATTTTTCGATTGGACGGGTGTAGGTATTTTTTTTTTCTTTTTTTCTTTCCTGAGTTTTCCTGCCAGAGATTTCTGAAAACGAGCGATTTACAAGGGGTGTGAGGGGGGGATTGCGTGGTACCGACAATAATTCAGCTTCCGGGCCTTGTACCGCGGCTATTGTGGCGGGAGATACCTAATTAGCGAGTCGGAAGAAATTCCGAGGTGGAGGGAGGAAATTTCCCGCGGTTAATGCCGCGTAAGTGCGGGAAATTTCTCGGGTAATGCGCGCCGATTGACGGTAATGCGCGCGTAATTGACGTCGATCGTCTTCTGGGGGGGTGCTCGGTGCGTCCTCGCGATATCGGTATCGGGGGGGTGACTCGGTCCCAGGAATAATAAGGACCCGCTAAAAGGATCCCCTTAATTGAGGATCTGGAAATGGGACGCCTCGATGACTTCGGCTCTTCGACTTAATTCCCTCGCTCTTCTTCTTCTTCGAGGGAGAGAACGGCGAGCGAAGGAAATTAGGGAACGCTCCGAGGAGTCGAATCGGCGGAAAATGCAAGAGATGCGCGGAAGAACCGGGGAGGGAAGGGAGGGAAAATCCGGCGGTATCAGGGAGTGCTCGGTGGAGCGGATTCGCCGGAAAATTCGGGAGAAGAGAGGCCAAGAAGATGCACAGGGGGAGGGAACGAAAATTAGAGGACGTATTCCCATGCTCGAAGGAATCGGTGGAAAGTTCGAGAACGGAGCTGGGATTGGAAGGTTAAATCCGCCGGTGGCGGAAAACGCATCGAGAGAACGAAAATCTGCAGAAAATCCGAGAATCGACCGGCTCGAAATGGAAGATTCGGCGATATTAGAAAATACTGTATGCAGTATACAAAACAAAGAAACAAGAAAAAAAAAGGAAAAAAATTCTATGGAAATCAAGGAATCAAGGGGGAAAAAAAATGAAGAAATTCATCGAACCAAAGAAATATCTTCTTAATTCCAAGAATGATTTATCTTCGATTCAAGTAAATACAATTTCGACTAAACGTTGCATCTAGTTTATTCCAGTTTATTTTCCTTATTCTTCGAATAAGGAAAATGGTGTCTAGTTCGATGACATTTTTTTTCTTTTTTTTTTTTTCTTCAGGGTAGGGGTGAAATCCCCGGAAACTTCCGAGGGAAAATTCGGCCCGTTCTCGAAATCGGGGTCGAGAGGTCGATAGGAGGGGCTCGTCGTCGGCCAGGGAAACAACTAAGCCGGGAATTAGCCAAGAGAAGCCCCGTGATGGACACGGCCGCGGTACCGACCGGGGGAGAACGAGACGTTGGCATTTGTTCGACCTCGGGTTGGCTCCATCTAAGTTTAGAGGGAGCGCATACCGCTCCGGTAGCCCAAGCCTAGCTGACATTATCGGGGGGTCAGGCCTCTCTGTGACAGAGGCCCGAGAGAGGGACCTGGCTGGACAGAGAGCCCGCGAGAGTGCGGATCGGCCTAAGAATAGTATCGCTCCGCGCATCAGCATTCGTGGGATCGTTGCATCCCGCCGCGGTTGCACCGCGTCTGCACCGCGGCTGCACCGTGGCCCGGTGCATCGCGATCGGCCCGAGATAGACCGAGAGCCTCGCCCGGAGGAGATTCGGGGAGAGCCGCGTTTCACCGGCCCTCGCCGGATTTAACGTCGCCCTCCCCTCCCCCCCCCCGAGCCCTATCCGAATGGACGGAAATAATGGCGCGGTTACTCGGCGGAATGAAGGCGAGACCCTTCCCCGTAGACGCGTCTCGGGGCACTCCTTCGATCTCCTCGGGAGGGAGGTTTGGAATCCTTGAATTCCTGGAATCCGTGCCTCTTTCTTCCCGGACTCCCCTCGTTAGACTCTCGGACTCCCTTTTTCTCGCCCTCCCTCCACCCTTCATCTTGCCGCGGACTAACGGCGAATGGATTCTTTTCTCTGTTGCAGGAAGTCGGAAGCATCATCGGGAAGAAAGGAGAGATCGTCAAGAGGTTCCGCGAGGAGGTAATTACCGAGGTCTCCCCCTTCTACGTCTGCTCGCCAACCCCTTCTCTCTCCGGCCATCTCCGGCCCCGAGGGAGAGATTCCGTTCGCGCCGTCCAATGTCGATTTCCTTCCTCTTTCGGGAGGGGCGAAAATCAACGTCGCCGATGGCCTCTTCACCTACGAATCGCTCGAGTGCCTACACTCCGGGGAACCGAACCACGCTAAGAAACGAATCGCTGGTCGAGATTCGAGAATTTTCGGCGCGGCGAGTTCTCGGGAATATTATGCGCTCATTTATCTCTAATTAATTATTCTCCCCTCCTTCTCGTAATCCGCACCGTAGATAACGAGAAATTCACTTTGACCGTCAAAATGTCGACGGATTTTCGTCGAAATTTTGTCCCGGCCACCTTTACTTCTCCTAAAAAGAAAAGTGTCAACTAGCCGTGAAAAATCCCGAATCGCGAACTTACGCGGATAGTGTCGGCACCTTTATCTATCCGAAGGAATTCCCGGCTTTCTCGGTTAGCGATTATTCCCGGGCCTAATTCCTGCGCCGGTTTTTAACGACTCGCCGCTTGTCCCGGTATTCCCAATACGTGGGGATTAATGCAATGAGCGCAATTTACTCGCGTAGCAGCATGCCCCGGTTTAGTGGTCATAAACAGCCAGGACGTATGGGAGCCGCTTTCGACAATGGTCCCGGGGGGGCCTCGTTTCCACCGCGGTGTATTAAAGAGCGATCCGTGACGATTCCTCTCTTGAGTATGTCATTTTTATCGCGCCCCCCCTCTGGCCATTGTCGAGCTCGAAATTCGCGAATCGCGGACGCGTGCAGCGAGCTGAGCCCTCGCCGAGCGTCGTCGGATTGGATTTATACCCGGTGATAACTGTCGACGCATCCCAGATTTATCGGTCTGACATTGGTGGATCGCGGTATAACGAGAGTGCGAACCCTAGGTTTATTTATCGACTTATCCGCCGACGTTTGCGAGTGGGCGAAGCCTCGTCTAAGATTGGCTACCGACGCGTCTTCGCGCTCGAGAGGGCGGAACGTTATCGCGTCGTAATGTCGGCCGAGAAACGTCGTAACATTGTTAGCGTAACGAGTTCGACGGGCCGGGTCGCTCCCTTTACCACCTTGTCCAGGAAACGCGGGAAATTCGAACCGGGGATTTCGTTAGGGAGGAATTGGTGTGCACCCGCGCGCCGTCGCGGTCGCCCGGAAAGAAACGCGAGGTCGTGGGCGTGCTCGCTATTTGTAACCCTTTCATGGTCTAATGGTCGGTCTGCCAGCCACTTGCGCCCGATCCTTTTTTCTTTCTTTTTGTCCCCTCGGCCATCTGTGAGAATTTTAACGAGCCCCGGGACGTTGGAAAGAATTCTTTTTATAGGCGACGCCGATCGGCCGACTCCGCCGAAGGTGCGACTCGGTGGCCCAACGCGCGTGGCTGGATACGCCACTTTTCTAGCAGAATTCTCAATTAACCTCCCGCCTCGGAATAACGAATCGGACTCGCCAGTACCCTGGGAAAAATCCCCGGAAATTTACATACATTTTTATTACGCCCCTTAATTGAGATCTCCCGTAGAAAGAAAACGTGAAATTAAACAAAAACCAAATATCTACATTCACCTCGTAATTGGGATTTCCACCGTGTCGGTGAATTTTTAATTCAATCAAATGTACCTACTGGGATTTTCCTAACTTGATGTCAGATAACGAGGGTGATTAGAGAATAGTTTCACGTGAGTTTTGTCGTGGCGTAGAAATACAAAAAATGATTGTGTAGATTTACGGGGGCATTTTTATCGGGGCCCTGAATTTGAATATCAGGGAGGAGGTTTTTTTTTTAGGTGTTATGGTCCTAGGGACGATCTTTTCCCCTAGCTCGTACCCAGGATTAGTGAACTATTGTTCGTAATTAATGGATCTTGGATTAATGAACGTTTTACCGTGCCCCGTAGTCCGGCGCGAAGATCAACATCTCGGACGGCTCCTGCCCGGAGCGGATAGTGACCGTCACCGGGCCGACCAACTCCATCTTCAAGGCGTTCACCCTGATCTGCAAGAAGTTCGAGGAGTGGTGCTCGCAGTTCCACGACATCCAGGGGAGCGGAGCAGGAGGCGGCGGCGGAGTCCCCAGGCCGCCGATCACGTTGCGCCTCATCGTGCCCGCCTCCCAGTGCGGCTCCCTCATCGGCAAGGGGGGCTCGAAGATCAAGGAGATCCGCGAGGTGACCGGGGCCTCGATCCAGGTCGCCTCGGAGATGCTGCCCAACTCGACCGAGCGCACCGTCACCATATCGGGAACGAGCGAGGCCATCACGCAGTGCATATACCACATCTGCTGCGTCATGCTAGAGGTAGGTCCTCGCCCTGAAGAGGACCTTGCCAGAGGGACCCGGGAGCACCCAACCCCTCCTCGACCACGGCGTGGTTGGCGTCCCTGCGTCCTCGCTCGCTGCGGCTCTGTCCGGATCTAATTCCGCGTTTCGGTTAATCCCGAGCCAGGGTTTGGTTTGATTTAGCAATTTAGGCCGGGGATGGGATTGTTGGACGGACGCGCCTGTGGTTTTGCACGTGTTCCTGGGGGCCAGAGACTTCGAGATTGCTCCGGGATGGGGTTTATCGTTTAACAAAAACACGGCATCCGCGGATTGGAAACCGACTGGAGAAGTTTCCGCGGTCTGGATTATTCTAGCGTCAACCGAGATTGCGATTAAGAGGATTCGTGGTCTTGTATCGGGGTGGGAAAAATTAGACAAAAAAATTGCAACCCTCGTCATCGCGTGGTGGTTAAGGTTGGGCGACCTCGCTTTGAGTATTTTGGTTCTTGTTCCCGGATTGAGCCGCAGGGTTGAGCGTCGATTTTCGATCGTGGAGTCGAGGGGAGCTGGCTTCTAGCGGGTGGCTGGCTCTCCTCGACGATGGCGGACGGGATGCGTCGAGTGGCTTCGTCGGCTGCGTCGTTACGATTTCTTCGAGGGCGGATACGCTGGTTATCCGCCCATGGACTCGTTTCCTTTCTTGATGGCCTTAGTAATTGCATTAACCGATGAGTCGACGACACCGGGCATATCGGAGAGGTCTCCGCGTTTACGCCGGCCGCGCTGATGGACGCGGTCGCTCCGTGAAAACGCTCGCTAATTGCGTTACGCAAGGACGTTTAACGGCCGTTCCGTTAAGTTAGTGCCGACGTATTTTACGAGTTTACCACCCCGATGCCTTCCACTTTGTAATTTCATCGCGTCTGTCGTTTCGGAGCGGCCGATCGACGGATGAAGACTCTGCAACCTCTCGGCGGCCCTAGGCTCGCTAATGGAGACGCGTTTTCTCGTTTGGAAAAAAAAAAAAAAAAGGCGCCAGAATTTACTCGGGAGTAAACGTATCATCTCGAGCTCGCGAAACTGCGTGTTCGCTCGATTAACGAGTCAAGCTACTGGAGCCCTCGAGAGCTGCTCGGAAGTAACATTTATCTACCGGCGTATAACGTTTGCGGCACGGTTTCGCTCTTATGTCGAAGACGGGGGTAACGAGTGTATTTAATCTAGGCATAAACTCGAGGTAATGACCACAATTTGCCAGAACTTTTATGACGCGGGCAAGGCACATAACGATCGGCCGCCGCGAGCGTTAACTTTCGGTTGAACGTTAACGTTCTTACGTGGGCGCGGACGCATTGAGAAAAGGTTCGGTTGAATGAAATTTTAATTTTCTCGGTAAGTCTCCGGAACGATCGGTTTTGGCATGCCCAGAAGTAGTTGGCATTAATTCCCAGATTGTCCTAGGAATAAGCATCCTGCGATTGGACGAGTCGTGTCGATTACGCGCACGATCCGGATACTCGTCCCCGAGTGTCCCATTCGAGGCGCCTAATCGACACGGCTCCGACCAGCGTGCGTTCCTATCAGCGACCGAAGCGACCGAAACCGAGGCCTCCGGCATCGATACCGTTTCTTTGCCCCTTCCAAAGAGCTTCATCGAGGGGACCGTGTCGTCGCGGTCCGGCTCCTGAGGACTCTTCAGGGGCCGAGCTACCGGAGGGGTCGAAAAGTCGGTCGCAGGGACGCGCGCGCCGCGCACCACCAGCGCCGCCGGCCGGCGGCACCGGGCACTAATCGCCGTTCTTCTTCTGTTTCAGTCCCCTCCCAAAGGTGCCACGATCCCTTATCGCCCCAAACCCCAAGTTGGTGGGCCAGTGATCCTGGCTGGTGGGCAAGCCTACACCATCCAGGGTAATTACGCGGTGCCCGCCCACTCGGACGTAAGTACAGTATTGCCATTGCCCGCCCCCCCTGCCGGGCCTGCCCCACCCTCGCTGAACGCCCAAACTTTGACTTCGCCCTTCGCGGCCCACCCCTCCTCGCCCTTCGCCGCTTCTCATGGCCATCCCCTCCTGCCGGCTCACCTAGCCTCCCCTCACCATCCCCTCCAGCCCAGCCCCTTACACGCCAGCGTGGCAGGCCTCGCCGACCCCCTGCTGAAGAGTGGACACTTGCAGGCAGCCCTCCCGCCCGCACACCTCGTGGCAGACGTCGTAAGTCTTTTGTTTTTCGTGATCCACCCTTCCGAGTACCTCGCTCACTCACTCACTCGCTCACTCATTCACTCACTCGCTCGCGGCCGGTCACCGACGAGGGAACGACGGACCCCCCTCCTCCCCCCATGCCCCACCACTCACCGCCCCGAGGACGCTGCCCGGTCCACCGGGGTGGGTCTACACCTGCCCCTTGACCTGGCCGCGACCGGACCACACACACCCCGTGACACCCCCTGGGCGCACAGCCGAAGGACGCAACTGGCGCGGGCTCCCCTCGACTCTTTCGGCGGCTCTTCCTGGATTTTTTTTTCACCTAGCCTAGGCGGTTCAGATTGTTTTTTTTTTATATGTCTGTAGTTACTTCAATGGTAATTTGCAAGGATATGCATTGGCGATTATTTCATTAACTATGCGTTTCTTGCACGAGAGCTCCAGATTCCGGGTTTATCTTGACCCTTGAATCGTTATTTTCTTTGATTGAGAAATTTATGACCGCGGTTCAAATTAAATATTAAATTAAAATTTATGTTTGTCAGGTCTTAGCTGTATATTTTAGTGGCGTCGGTCTATTTGCGATGTGGAAGACATGGAGGATACATTGAGAAAAAGAAATCCATTGAACCGGAGAAATAGGTTTTTTTTTAATTCGAAGAGTAATTATTTGACTGGAATCGCCATGATTCCGAAGATAAATGGTGCATCTAATTTATGGAAAATTTTGCGGGGGATTTTCATGGGCGGGAAAAATCCAAGAAAAGCCCGTAGTGGAATCGAAGGCGCCGTCCGGTCCGCGAGAACTCGCAAAGTCGACGACGACGACGACGACCGCGACGTCGGGGTGGACCGATCTCTGCCGTCTGCCCTGACGAGCCTCCGGAGGAGGGACTACCTCTTCCCCGGAGGGCCTCGCCTCCGGGCACTTTGTCCGCCGGTCGGGGCGGCTTCTCTTTCTGTTATTTTTCCGACTCTTTCGATTTTCCGACGAGCTCCTGGGGCCGGCGCGCCTGGTCGCCGCGGTCGGCTGGACGCCGTAGCTGTCGCGTAGAGGATGTTGTCCACGTGTACCTCGGAATGACCCTTGAACTCTTCTAGGCCGCCTGTTGTCCCTCATCCGACCGTCCACTGCCAAAGTTCAACCCCTCTACCGCATCTGCATTTCTCACCACCTTTGAAGAGACCCTGCTTTTTGCTCAGTGTCCTCGTCTACCCTGCAACGTGTCAACGGGGATCGTCAGGACCCTTCCTCGCCACAGGACCGGATGCGCCCTCGATATTTCTCGTCTACGAGAAAAACCCATCGGATCCACCCCGAGCGAAAAATCTATCGTCGAAGGAGATCTAATTACTCTCTACAGTCCTATAATATTGAAAGGAAGAAATTATGTTAATCTCCCTTATTTTCTACATAAATAATTCCATGGGATAAACATCCCTCGAAATTGGCGAGATTAATTATTAATAATTAACTCGTGAAACTCGATGTTGAAATTTAATGCCGGGGCGAAACTGACTTCGGAGTCGTCTTCAGGGTTTTGGATATCAATTTATATTGCGATATTATTCGATATTTGCGTCAAGTGGAAATAATTTCGGGAGATAGACGAGTGTCAGATTTTTCTGCTCGGGGTACCCGATCTTCTTTACAAGGAGCTCTTATTTTCGCGGAGGGTCCTGCGATGGAAACGGGTCCTAGCGGTCCCCTCGATGTCCTGCACCGGAATGTCTCGATAGTTCTGTCCACGTGGCTCCCGAGCCTCGAAGGACCCGGTGGGACTCGTCCTGGCATGAGGACTCGTCCTTGGTCCTCGAGACTCGGCTCGCAAGTGCGGTGGCTTTGCTTATTTTTCTGTCTATGTGTCTGCACGTGTGTACAAGCGTCTAAGTGCGTGCGCTCGAGAAAAAAAAGAAAAAAAAAAAGAATCCTGCGGTCCGAGGAGGGTCCGATGTCGAGGGCAAGGTCCTCGCCGACCTCGCTTCCTGGCAGCTAAAAGGAGACGAGAGATGACGCGAAGTGTCGTCTCTCCTTTCCTTTTTTTTCTTTTTCTTTTTTTTTTTTTTTCTGGAACCTGGGAGTTTTAACGAGCGCTCGCCTGCACCGCGAATCGGCCTCTCTCGCGGTCGCTCTCTGTGCACCTCGAGCTTCGCCTGCTTCGTTGTTATTTTTTTCTTATTTTTTATTTTTTTTTTCCTATCTATTTGTGAATGCAACTTTGCCGGCCCTTGTGTTGGCGCGCACTTTGAGCTTGTTCCTCGCAGGAGCACCGAATGGAATTCGACGCACGCCTAGCTCTGCCAGGGAAAGAGGGAGCATGCAAACACGAGTCGGCGGGAACAATGCGTGCGAGCCCGGAAATGCGGAGCCGGAAGTAATCCCTGCTTTTTACCCTGAAGAGGTCCAGGAAGGAAAACAGGAGCGGCTCCTGGAACGTCCATTGGTGCTGGACTGGCGCCTGCGAGTTCGCTCCTAGCAGGTCCAGGTCGCGAAGGGGTTCCTCCGAGGTGTTCACCTGTTAGATTCGGACAGATTCACGTAAACGTCATGAGAACGACCTTTTAGATTCGTATCGAGGTACCAAAAAATTAATACCCATATGGGAAGAAGGTACGTGTACCCCGATGTCAATGTAAAACGACGTTTCCATCGGTGCACGGATGCGCCACTGACACGGTACGGACGCGTCACTGACACGGATATGTCCGAATCAGCCTTAACAAGGCATGCGGACCCTTTGTTTCAGTTAACCTCTTCCCTGCTGATTAAATTTCTTATCGCTTAAAGGTACTTATGGTATGTTGAGATTTTAGCAGGGAAGGGGTTCAATTATACAAGTCACCCTGGTTAGGGGGTTAAATTCTTTCCTGGACTTCTTTATTCGCTTCGCGTTCTTCGAGGCTTCTTCCCGAAGGGAACTCCCTGCTTCTCCGACCGAGCACGTGCTCTCTTCGATCTGAGATCTTCCCGGGAGATTTCGCGGCTCGCTCGAGTCCTGCGCGGAAATAAATGCGTCAGGTGTGGATGATTAACGGAGGAAGTGCGAAAACGTTGCCATAATTATTTTTATATGTACATATTTTTCGGTTCTATCACCTCGATATCTATAAACGACGACCTGTAAAAAAGAAGAGAAAAAAAAAGATACAGAAAATCGATCCTTCGCAGGGGCCGAATTCTTCGAGCATCACCCTTGGGGGTGGACTCGTGTCGGGGAAAATGTTTCAATTTGAAGGAATAGATGGAAATATTAGGAAAAAATATATTAGATCGATTTCAGGGGGCCAATCGCGAGATGGGGAGGGAAGGGGACGCCATGGCCGGTCAGGGGTCGGAAATATTACTCATTTCGCCCTTTCATTCCCGGTTTTCTCCGTAAATGGTCGGGGGTTGGTTTAGCGTGGAAGTATCGCCAGTGGGGTTCGATTTCCGAGCGAGTTTCTCGCGATCGGTTTGACTTTGGCACACACGAAAGGAGAGAGAGGGAGAGAGAGAAAGGCCGGCGAAGGGGTAGGCGGAAAGGGGGAGCGCGGTCGCAAACATAATTAACCGGCTTTTACGACGTACAGAGAGGGGCGGCGGCAAGTGTTTGCTAATTAGCGACGCTTTTTGTGCGCGAAGGGCGAGGCCGAAGCGCAAATGTCTGCGCCCGGGCCGGCGGGTTTGACATTTTGCATTTTTTAAAAGCGCGCAATCGACCCGCGAGCCGTCTCGCGACCCCCGGGGGTTTCCGAGTTTTCCTCGCGCAAAAGGTAAAAGGAAAGGAAGGGGAAAGAAAGAAAGAAAGTAGGAAAATCCCCTGCGCCGCCATTTTTCCTACAGATTTCGCGGTCTGCCTGTAAAGGTCGGTTCACCCTGTCCGACACGTGTTCCGTCACCGGTCCGTCAAAACGTCAAGGCGGCAATTGTCAACACTCGCGAACATGATATCACGATCGAATCGAATCGCTCAAAAATTACAAATAAATTCCATCGAATTTTTGCGAACGATTCCCAGCCCGACCGGCATCGAGAGTCCCTCTACGACCAGGTTTCTCTTCCTCGGGTGCGTCGTATATTTGTCTCGAACTCGTTAAAATCTCCCGGGCGGAAAAGTCTCGACGGGAAGTAAAAAGGTAGAGAGGAGGAGGCTGCGAGAGCGAGTGGAGCGGCGAGGAAAGAGAGAGAGAGATAAAAAGAAAGGGGGAGAAGAGTATCGACTACACTATTAACAGAAGTATCAGGGTGGCGAGTCGATGGCTCGCTTTTATACATTCTTTTCTCTCTCTCTCTTCTCGTCCTTTCATTCCCCTTCTCTCTCTCTTCTTTTTATTCCTTTCTCCGTTTAACAATCGGGGAACACGTAGGGCCGGGCTCAACGGTCGATATTTCTTTCTCTCCCCCCAGTGCCGGTCTCTTTTTCTCTCTCTCTTTCTCCGCGCTTTTTCCCCGTTTCCGCTCCCTTCACGATGGGAAAGACAAGGAGGGAAGTGCACTAAAAGCTCGGTCGGGTCAGAGGAAGAGGGAGAGAGAAGGACTCGGCTTAGCTTTTTGATGCGAGCCGCAATGAGTTCTCCTTTTGTGATGCGATTTACCGGGGTTCTCCTCCCCCTTTCCTAGGAGGTTGATAAGGGGTAAAAGGGGGAGGGGGTCGGTTACGACATAGCGATGGCGCAAAAAGGAATATGCATGCGTGGCACGAGAAAGGTAGAAACTCTTAGGTACATGCGCTTTGTTCTCTCTCACTCTAATTCCGAATTTTCTCTCACTCTTCTGCCTTGCGACGAGGGAGAGCCCGTCTCTCTCTCTCTCTCTCTCGGCTTGCGTAATACTCTCTTGACGCTTCTTCCGTCCCGAGCTCCTCTGGCACTCGTTACCGAGGTATCCTCCCTCTCCCTCTCCCCGACGAGAACTCTCTTTCTCTCTCTTTCTCTACTTCTCTCCTCGTACTCTCCCGCGAGAGCCGCGAATTCAATCTACAAGACCCCCCGCGATCCTCCAGTCTCCGATTTAGTGATAACCGTCCCGAAAATGGCGAAGATGCGCCGAGGCGTGTATATGTATATATTCCTCTTAATTTATTTAAGTCACCCTGAGAAAATTATTATCCGACCGGAACAGATGTGCATTGTATGTAATACACGCACAATTGCATGGGACAATTACTTAATTAAGATAAGAAATTAATTTTGGACCCAAACTAGTATAAATTTCTCCTTGGACGTACTCGATCGCAGGGTTTTATTGTCGCGCGTATTTTCTTCGAGTCTGAGAAATTTTTTTTAATTCTTTTTCTCAGGATAGAGGAACGCCGTTTCATCTCGATCGTCGCTTTGATTTCTGCTCTTCCTTTTTTAGTTTCTAATTTTATTCATTTCGAGGGTCCAAGAGGTGCGCCCGGCGAAATTACTCGAGACTTGGCACGGCGCGTCCGCTTTCATCTGTGGTGCAAAAAAAAAATAAAGAGAGAGAGAGAGACAAACGCGGCGCATCTTTTCCGGCTTCTTTCTCTTCCCTCCTCCGTCCCGTTTCTCTTCCCTTTATTCTCCGCGTAACTTCTATCTGGTCTCGTTTCTCCCCGAGCCTCCACCCTCTGGTACTTTCATCACTCACGGCAGTCACTCGTGTAAGTTGTCCATTTCCCCCTTAGCCTCTCTTTCACTTAGAATAGCATGGCTTCCGGCACATAGCTGCGATTAGCGCGAGGAGTTTGCGCGAGGGTGGGCTGCCCCCGAGACCAAAGAGAGACGCGCCAAGTACATCTACACCCTTAGCGAGGAACGACCGGGACTCTTTACCGCCGGCTACCCATGGAATAGGTCTTTAGCCGCGGTTAAAGTCAATTTACACGTGCCAGAGTTGATATCCACGCCCTGATACCCCGATTATTAAATTCTGAGCTCGTGCATGTCCGAGACCTAAGAGAGACGCGTCAAATATATCTCGATTTTTTGGATCCCTGGGTACTGGCTGGAAACCTTTTTTCAACCAAGGAAATTTATCGACATCAATGACCGTCGATCGAGTCTAGAGAGGGGGTGATAAGGACATTTGGAAAGGACTCGTTGGCTCGATCGATAGGGCGTCTTGTCATTGTCAAGAGCCACTTCCTCGTGTATGGGTCCTTCCGAGGTGTCTAGTCTCCCGGCACTTGGCCATTGTTAGAGCGAGTAATGTGCGGGATGTTTTGTCCATGATTAGAAAGAGAAAATAGATGAAATAGAGGAATAACCGATGCGATGACCAATTGTGAGATGTAGAGTACGCGATGGTAGAGAAAGTCACGAAAGGCGATTTTTTTTCGGAACGCTGGGCAGTCTAGGGAGTACCTAGAGGGCTTAGAATACATAGAGTACGTAGTAGTGATCATTTTGAGTCGTCTGAGTACATCTTATCTCGTGAGATTGAATAAATGTATCGATATCTCGTTTTCCTGCGCGTGGCACGTGGCATTGGGACAATCTGTGCGCGCCACCGTAAGGGAGTTAGATCTTCATCCAGTGAATCCATTGATTTAGATCAATGATCATGTCTAGATCCTCCGATCACCTCTCGTTGACACCTTTCGCGATGAGCTCGCGCTCCTAGGGCGATTCGATCTCTTCTCTCGGACCATTTCCCCCCGCCTTCCGTTCACCGACCTATTTCTTCCCTAGTCCCTTCCGGTCTCACCTGCCAGGTGAACGGGAAGGGACGGGATGAAAGCTCCGAGAAAATCTCGGCAGGAGGGAATGGGTCGGGCGAACCCTTCGGGATAATCCCTCTGATGTTCCACCCTCTGTTCATCCCTCCATTCCCTGTAAACGCTCCGACTGGCTCGTCTGCAAATAAGGAAAAGGAGTTAACGTGGAAGGATTTAATCGGCAAGGATAATGATAAAAAATTGTAATAAATGATCGTCACCAAAGGAGAGACTACCCTGGAAAAGATATCGCACGTCACCTGAATTGTCACATTACCCACAATTATCAATTTTTTTTTTATAACATCGACCAATATACACGACGACGTCCTAGGGCAGTCGCGAGCAGTCTGTTTTATAAGATCCGATCCTTCTGTCAGGAAACTCGGCAGAGTCTCGCGCCAAATATACATTTCCATACGTTGTATAGAGGAAGTCTCCTTGCTCGAATTTCTTATCAGGTCTAGGACCTTGAAATTAAATCCCAAGTGATAAGACAGACTGCACGGGCGCGAGTGCGATCGCAAGGTGTTGGCGCGAAGTCCGGGATAGGCGATCCTCGGGTGTGCGAGGGAGAGAGAGAGAGAGAACTTACGAGTACCTGTGCGTATGAGAGGGAGAGAGAGAGAAGGGTTACCGCGGGATCGGAGAGCAGGACATACGACGAAACCGAATTCCTTTCGGCACTCGTGGGCGTCCAAGGATGCATTCTAATTGCCGTAATTCCCGTCGCTGTTGCAGATGGGCAAGCTCGGCAGCAACCCGTTGGCAGGACTCGCGGCCCTCGGCCTCGGAGGACTGGCAACGCCTGCGAACACCGGTGGACTGAACCCGGCCGGTAAGTGTACGTCGTCCTATCACCATCCTTACCTAAATTCAGAAAAGAACGAGGACGCGAGATTTCCTCGACCCGTTGCGAGTTTCGATTGGGCTGGAGCCACGCGAGCATTGTTTCAACGTAGGTTGCACGAACATCCGTCGTTTCAACATCACTCGAAACAACATCGTTTGTAGGTCCGTTGTTTCAACGTAGGTCGTTACAACGTCTCTCGTAGATAGTGATTCATTACGACATAAAACCTTACGATACATCGTAACGCTCTCGTGGCCTCAGCCTCAGGAAATTCCCACGTGTTCCTCGGTGCTTTTCCTCGCAGCGAGACCCACCTCGAAGAATCACCACGTCTGTCTCTCTTCCCGCAGCATTGGCGGCCCTTGCCGGTAGTCAGCTGCGCACCAGCAACACCAACCGGCAGCAGCCGGCCGCGAACAATCAGACGCACGAGATGACGGTGCCGAACGAGCTGATCGGGTGCATAATCGGCAAGGGCGGCACCAAGATCGCGGAGATCCGCCAGATCTCCGGCGCGATGATCCGGATCAGCAACTGCGAGGAGCGGGAGGGCGGCGCTACCGACCGCACGATCACCATCACGGGGAATCCGGATGCCGTGGCGTTGGCGCAGTATCTCATCAACATGAGGTGAGTGGTCCCTGCGAGCGATCCATCGGACCGGAGTCACTCGAGGCCCCCGGTTGGCCGAACCTCCGAGGAAGGGTCCTCCGAAGAGCGTCGAGTCCGGGCCCCGCCTGGATAAGAAGGTGAACTCGAGGATGAACCCGCAGAGGGAGCCGAATACCAACCTGGAAACGAATCCACGAAATTAGAACAATTTTCGTCCAGGCAGACCTCGGGGACGACGCTCTTCGGCGAGTCCTTCGCGATACCGATTCGCCGATTCCCCAAGGAGAACCCGATTCACGTAACCACCCTATGACTCGCATACCCAGTATATCTCACGGACCCTGAAACCTCCCTTTGGTCGCGACAAGAAATGGCAAGGACGAGCCCCACTGTCCGCCGTGCCATTTCCGCGTGCGTACGTCGCCCGGAGCCCGAACCACGCGAGGGTCTCGCCTCGTCCTCCAGGGCACAAAAATTTCCACGACTTCCTAGGGACCGATGAGGGACCCGCGCGGGGTTCGCCCGTAGATCTATATGTCGGCGGTCTCGACGTAACGACACGCCAACCTTACGCAGGGGAATTTGTTGACCATGGATCCGCCGTGCGGATGGTTGCGTCTCGTTACGCGGGACCCTGAAATGTCCCACATGGCATGGACGACGTCGCCGTTGCGAGCTGGACGTTTGCTGGTCGAAGACCCTTCGTCGATACGATTTTCCTAATTTTAATGGATAGAGGAACGAGAGATATCTCGACAATAGGCGGTTGACGAAAGTAGCGGGGATATGTACCTTAACGACGGAGTGGTTTGGGGTCCCGGGTGGAGCCATGGCGTCAGTCGCGTCGACCGGCTCGCCGGCGACGTCGTCCTGTAGGGTACCCAACAGCGACACAGGTGAGACACCCCGTAGAGATTAAGGTCAGGCGAGTCGCCGAGAAGACGGTGCTTAAGAGACGCCAAGGAACGAGGACCATCGTCGACGGCCAGGAAGACGACGTTGGTCGGGCCGCGACCGAAGAGGATCAGTTCATAATCCTTTGTTTCCAGGTCCTGCCTTCCAGGTCCAGAACCTTGAGTATCCTGCAGACTCAACTCCGCTCAACGTCACGTTCCCATTGCCGCTGGCTGTCCTTTCAAGTAATCAAACACGAGAGACAGATTCGAGAATATGAGAGAGGGAGAGAAAGAGACGGATCAGGACTGTCGGTCACCCGCTGACGAATCCCGTTGGTCCCGAGCAACGTGTCATAAAATTCCTTCCCTTGATATGTCGTATCTCGAGCGGATCGCGATCCGTGCCCCCGATCGAGAGGCCTCGGCTTGGACGAATCCACGTTCGGGGGAATCCATCCTCCCGGAAGCCTTCTTTCACCTTCTTCGCCTTCTTCAGCTTCTTCGGCTTCTTTTTACTCTTTATTTCCATCACGAGGTGGCGAGGCTGCCAATCCGGTTCCCCGCTTTGTGCGCAAATCATCCTCGAGCCTGAAATTTCGCCTCGAGGTTATATACGCTCCAATCCGTCCAAACGCTATCCAGGCCCGTTTCTTATCATTCTCTTTACTCTTTCCATACTTTATCTCGGTTCTCGCGAGGAGTCCTCGCCGTCGCGAGAACTCTCGGCCCCCGATCCGCACTCACCTCACCGGAGGCCTCTCGCCGTGGCTTCTTTATTGTTTTTCCGCTTTCTCGCTACTTTATCATCGCTTGGATCGTAAATAACCGGAGCCGTTCGCACGGTAGAACCTTGGCGACGCCGTGTCGTGCATCCTTTGCATATCGAAGACCTCGCCGAACGACGTCGATCACCGTCCTCGCCGACGTCGACCCCTCGAGGTGTAAATACGCGTCCTTGCACTCTGGCTTGTACATAGATCACATAGATCACCGGATGGACCCGCCAGTCCTAGAAATCAAATAACGATCATCCGCTTCCTGGTGTATAATCGCGTCGAGAGCTCGCGAGAATCGGGACGCTTGTCGCTTGCATCCGTGCCGGCCGTTGCTGTCCGTTGCTGTCGTTGCTGACGGGGACCAAGGGGAAAAAAGGCAACCTTGCTCACCGGGGAATACGACCTCGCCGTCGTTTCCCCGACCGATATTCCCCCGTCACGGATCGCTCGGTGATCGCACGTGCGGAACGACACCTCCACCACCTCCACGCTGCAATTATAATCCATTTATATATATTTTATTCCAGATTGTCACTCACATTACTGCATATAACTGCGATATCGTACTGCCACCCCGAGGTTTCTCTATTGCCATAACGTTTGTCATCGTATTTATTACATTACCGTGTCTCCCAGCACTCCCATTGTACACCATGGTGTGCACTCTGTCGGTCGGGTCGACGCACTTTCCGCTGTAGCGCGCGCGCGCCTCCTTTCCGTTGGGCCGCCCGGTACCTGCAGTATGTCGGCTTGCTCGCGCCGAATCGTTCGCACCCTCGTCCAGCTTGTATGATTTCTGGCAGAGTGCACGCCATGCTTTGTTTACTTTAATTTCCGCCTTTCGCGCGGAGGGGACTCGCCGATTCGCGAACGAATGTTCCTCGCGCCTTGAGAGCCGCGCGAGGCGGCCGCCATCTTGCGGCGGCCATCTTGCGATGCCGCGAGAACCCTCTCTGTTGGACTGGTTGCGATTTATCTGCATATTTCCACGAAGGGCCGCGTTCGCGATTGTAAATCACTCTCGGAATCGATAGATCGAGATCGGGCGCCTTTTTTAATACGGTAAAGGTAACTCTCTCGAGGTCGTACGCGCGAAAAGGTTACGAGTCCCCCCGCGTCTGGATAGGGTACTACGTTAGTTAGGGACGCGCAACCGCCATTTTGTGTCTTACCCTCTCGGACCCTGCGTAGTGGAGCATGCACGGCGTAGGTAGCCAATACTTTTACCCGGATAAAGCACGGTGGATAGTACATAGAGTACTAGCTTTTAACGATAGAGAACTAACATTCGCGCCCAGGCGCACCGTTTCCGGAGTATTTATAAGTCGGCCCCTCCCCCGTAGAGAATCAGGCGACGAAAGTTTGCAACCGCGGTTTGCCGACCCGGCGCGACCTAGTGGCCACGTTTCGCACGACGAGTTTCCTCCGAGCCGTGGAAAAGGTAGACCTCGACTTCCGGTCGACGACTGGCATGCGCACCGACGAAGGCCCAAAATGGCGATTGCGCGTTCCCGCGGGACGTAGTACCCCGTATCCGAAATTTCGGATCGACCAGAATCCGCGACCGTCGCCATAACCATGAACCATCCCCGCCCGACCCATAGAGTCCCTCCAGTGAGAGTCTGCCGGATGATCGACTTAGGGACGAAATAAATTAAACGTTCAACGACCCTCCTGAACTAGCGCCATCCCCAAGATGGCGCCGGTCCAGAGAAGGGCTCCGACTCGGGAATACCTCCTTATGAAAAAGGGCAATTACTACTTCCGAAAGTCCGTTCTCTCGTTTCCTTCGAGTAGACTTCGTCGCCTTTCACCCGTCCTCCTCTTCCGATTTTCTCCACGCGAAGGTCCGCCATACTCTCACTGGAGTCCACCTATAGAGCTCCTGGTAAAACAGAGTCCCGCGATTAACACCTGCCGTTAATGCGAATCTTGCTTACCAAGTGAGTTAACGTGTTTCCCCTCGATTGCCGAACGCTATCGGGGATCCTTCATTATCCGGTATTCATTGACTGCGTTCCTTGCCTCGAGTTTCGGTCTCCCTCGGAGGTTCCGTTAATTACCTGAAGGTAAAACGGTGAACGGTGAAACCCCCCGTCCCAAGGGGCTTACCGCGCTCCTCTTCTCAGGTAACCTGGAAGATAAATCCCGGAGGGTGAGTCGCCCTAAATTCGGATATCCACCTACCTCGATCTCGCGTTAACGAGGTTAGGACGATGGCGCGCGTTTCCGGGACTCTGTTTCTCCAGGACCAACCCCACCGACGCCCCTGCCCCCCGTTCGGTCTGACGACGTGATCCCCCTTTACCTTTTACATTTGTGTCTTTTCCCAGTGTCGAACTGCAGAAAGCTAACCTAGAGGCCCAAAATACCCAAACCCCTGGCAGCGGCACCACTCCCGGGGCATCCGGGGCCAGTGCTTCCCCCTCTACCACAACCACCACTGCCTCTCCTTTGGCCAGCGCCATCCCCCTGGCTCAGCTGTTAAGCAAGCCAGGCGCTCTCAACGCCCTCTCTAGCCTGACCGCCCTCGGCGGGCTCACGGAATTGCTAGGTGGAGCTGCTGGCGCAACGGCGACCGCGCTTCCGGTCCAGACCACCGGCGTCCACCGCTCGCACAAACCGTTCACCCCGCGCCTGCGCAGTCCCGGCGCGCCGGGCCCAACGGACAGCGGCAAATTCAAATCGGAGCGCACCAAGTACAACCCCTACTGAGGGACGCGACGCGCCACCGACGCCACCGTCCTTCCGTAACGACGCCCACCGACGACGCCCCCGGAAGAGGCGGTGCGCCGCTCAAGGCCCCGAGCCACCTGTCCCTCCTCCTCTACCTACCCCTGGGGTTACATCTTACCTAGACTTCGATCGATCAACTATTCCCTGGCAAGGGTTCTGTCGAAATTCTCAAGTTTTTCACGCTTTTTATCGCGACTCCGGACACTTAACGGCGACGACCTCGCGAAACACCGTAAAAGGGTTGAGGCGTTGAAACGCGTGCGCGATGAAGGAGGGTAGTTGTTTCCGTCGAGGTGAATTACTTGAGCATTCGACGTGGAACCCTCGAGTTGTTCGACGATTCGACGAGTTAAGTTCCTGGACGAAGGGGGAGAGGGCGAGGGGATGATATTCGCGTTAAATAGACGCGAGCACGCGGAAGATGTCGAGCGAAAAAAAAATCATTCTTTTTATATTCGCGTTACACCCTGCGGTGTATGTTTTCTTCTTCTCCTTTTTCTTTTCTTATACTTTTTTTTTTATTTTTATTTTTTTTTCCTTTCGTCCGTGAATTTTGTCGGTAGCCTCGATACGGCGGTATATCGAATTCGCTAATTTCCCGGTCTATACGACGTAAGATGCGTATTTTCTTTTCCCTTCCACTTGTCTCGCCTTTTTTACACCCCACGTTCCTTCCGATTTCCTCTCGTCCCCTTGGACAGGTGGCGCCTCGGTCTCGGGGCGGAAAACCGTTCTTGCGCCCTCGCAAGAGACAAGTCTTTTTATATTCATATTATATGATAGTGTACCACTGATTGCAGTTACAATTACCGTTTCAATCAAGTCTTTTTACTAGCGTAGCCGTTCCGATGTAATTTTTTTCCTTTTTGTGATAGTCGCCTTTTAGAGGTAGAACGAGCGCGAGAGGACCGATGAGTGCGTGTGCCATGTGAGAGCGAGAGAGCGAAAGAGAAAGAGAGAAAGATTAATTTAGGTAGCGAAAGGAAAGGGAGAGAAGCCGTTTTCGATCATGTATTTTGCTCGAGAGATGAGTGAACGCCTACTTTGTGTAATTACATTGGAATCATGAAACGCCCTCGGCTCGGTGGTTCCGGGGAGCGCCGCCAGGGGCGCCGCCGAGCGCGGCGCGGGATTCAAATCCTTCCCTGAGCCTAACCCTCCCCGACGCCAGCCGACGCTCCGAGGCGCTGGAGAGCTTATCGAGACCAACAAGGACACCTTGTTGCGGGTCCGTCAATGAAACTAGCTACTCGGAATAACCAATCAATATGTAACGTCGTATTATTGTATAATTATATAATTCTAGTATTAGGCAGTGATCGTGTATACCGCACGTACACGGATACGCGCGCCACTCCGAGGTAAATCATATCGTCCCGCTGCGTGTGCGTGCAGACGCGGAGGACGTAATTTCAGGAATGTGGATTCTCGCGTTGACCACGTTGAAAAGGAAAAACTAAAAGGACATACTAAGGGAGGCCCCGAGCGTTTCCCCGGGAGCTGTGAACGATCTCGACGCGGTAAACGGATCGGAACTTTTCGAGGCGCCGCGGAGGGAGTCGAAATTCCGTTTGAACTTTCAAATTTCCCGCGAAAACGCGGCGAGGTAGCCGGAGAGTCTCCGGGGCGATCACGATTTGTTTATCGAGTATACCCGCGTACACCCACTGGTACATATACATATACATATATATANTATATACATATATACATATATTTTATTTTTCCTCCTTTTTCTCTCGTAAAGTCTAATCCAATTAGATGTTATCGTGCTCAATCTTGATAGCGAAGAAGACTGTGCGCGCAGACGCCGACGCATCCTCGCCAAGGATGTTATCGATCGCCGATTATCGATCGCTTCGAGAGGTCGATCCCCCCCTCCACCGTTCTCGTCGACCTCGCATTTCGTTACCCTTCGTCGGGACAATAAATTTCATAGGGGGCAACGGGGTGCCGCGGAAATGGGAACACGGCGTAACGGGGAATTCGGGAATTCCGAGACTTTTGGAATTCTGAAATTCCGCGACGCCTATCTGGGGAGGGGGAGCGCGACGTCGAGGGGGGTGCGGGGCACCCGGTGGACCTTCTACACGTAGAGCGTAGATCGGGCCGTTATACACGTGTCGACCTTCGTAGTGACGCAGAACTTAATTGCGCAGATTGTGTGCTTAGCAGACATTGGCTACCCTGTATCAACCTTGTTGAATAAAGCCAGGCGTGTTTAATACAGAAGAACCACGCAAAGCTCGAGGATATACTTCTTACCCGAATGCGCGCGAGCGACGCCGCCCACGTTTTAACTCCCCCCTTTTTCCTCGGGAAGGCCCCCGACATTTTTCCAAAACACTTCCCAATTACCAACGAAAATGTCCTACACGTGGAAGGGCAGAAATTGCTGGCGACGAGGGGAGACGCAAATCCAGCGCTAATGTTATAAATGTATCCGCGATAATCAATAGAAAAAGAAATCCTGTACAGGAAAATGTGAAACTTGAACGCTGGAAGTGAAACTTCTTCTTATAAGTTAAACTTATATGTGAAAAAGAGAAATGGAACCCTTTATTATTTTTCTATGGTTTGCTATTTACCCTCGTACTTTATTGCCAGGTCAAATAATTAGTTTATTGTCGGCGCGTGAGCGGAGAAGTTTCACTTCGTTAATTATGTAAAATTGTATACGAGAAAGGTTGAATAGAACCAGGGTGATTAGCATGGAGATGCGTTTCTTTATATCTTCCGCATACGGCGCCGGATTTTCCACTCGCCTCGGAGTCGTTATCTAGACGTAAGCCTTCGATAGCCGTTACGTAGCCCTAGTTAGTTTATAACTACGTAGACTTAGTTTGTCAAAACTGCACGTATAGAGACGTGCACCGCGTTAGCCACTCGTACTGAAGATCCGTACACACGTAACACGCCTACACACACATACCGCGCACACGTACGTACATGCCGAAGAGCGGAGAGAAAGAGAGACGTACAGAGAGATGTAGGGAGAGAGAGAGAGAAAGAGAGAAAGAGAAGATATATCTATCCAACCAACTTGACCCAAGGCTCCTGCCCATCTTTGGTAAGCACCATCCGCTCCTCTTTAGTCCTCTTTAATCTACTTCTCCCGTTTAACCGTATTTGTACTTTTTTTTTTGTATTCTGGTTTTGCATAGTTTATTTTTATTTTTTTTTTATTTTACCCTCTATACGAATGTACTTTGTCAAATCGAGTCGGCCGAGTTGTCCGAAGCATCGTGCTCGGTTCTTTTGCCTGGTCACTGGTATCTCTCTCTGTTGAACGTACACGTTTTCCATCTTCTTCAACTTTTATTTATTTTTTGTCACATCTACTGTTTTCATTTTTTTTTTTCTTTCTCATTCTCCGTGCCGAACCCGGTCGCGGTTTGGCCCACCCGAATCAGACCCACCAGCCCTTAGTCGCATAACAAGTAGAATTTCAAGCTAATCGCACAGTTTAATCAAGGAATGACAAGTAAGGTCCTTGATCGATCCCCGAGAAATTAATTGATCATAGATTTATAATAATTCCCGGCAATTCAAGGATTGGCGAAGCTCATTCGATGGTCGACCGATCAATGATCTTATTTCTTATCCCCTGTCTCTGTTTTTTTCTCCGAGATGATATCATTTTGACGTTTCTCCCCACGGTTTCTCGTCCCTCGTTTCCGACATTTTATTTTCCACGCCTTTTATACGGGGCAATTATTCTTGTTTTCTTTTATCTTATTTCCAATAGAGAACTGCGACCGAGGGGGCCGGAAGCGTTTATATCCCGCGTTCGCGTTCGTTTTTTCTGGGCTTCGAAATTGACGTTCCCCCGGCGGGGTTCATTCCTACCGTGGAATCTTGACAATTTTGCACATTCCCGGAATATCGGGGAAACGGCTCTCGGGGGCGAGTCGGCTCGTGGCATTCGATTTTTGAGTTCCTCCGCGTCGCCTTCGGATATTGGGGTAGCCGGGCGAAATGAAACCCCCGGCTCCAGGGTAGATATCAGACACTTCTTCCGGTGCACGGGATAACCGGAGCCAAGTCGGCCGTGAACGTTTGAAATCATGGACACTTCCTTCCCTCAAGGAAGACGAAAATCGCGTTCCTCCTCGAAGAGACTCGCCGGTCTTCCAAGGGCGCACAGGTCTAGAGGCTCGGTCGATTTGCGCAAGGAAAATTCAGGATATCCAGAAAGGGGCGCTTTACGATTGCCTATTAACAAAGTTTCGCGTGGGACGTCTCCTTTCGCCGTTAATAATTAATTAAGTGGCGGGAGAAAGAGCGCGGACAGAACCGAGCCTCCCCCTTGTGCCCTTTCTATGTAAAGAGCTTTCAATGGCACGAATTGACCACCTCGCAAATTCTGTTCCAGGATATCCATGGAGACTGCAGGAATGGCGATCCCCGCGTATCACTACATCACCCCGAATCACATCGTGAAATCTCCGATCCATTAAATGGAGAGCGAGATCCCCGCAGGAGGACGCCGTCGAAGGACGCAGGGCGTCTTGACGCACGCGACGCTGTCAATGGCATCTGGGGCTGGGCCACACACTGTGTTCAACCAGCTTGCTAAACCGACACACGAACAGACACTCACGTACACCGACGGTGTGACAGAGTTAGAGAGAGAAAGCGAGCGAGAGAGAGGGCGGAGAAGTAATCGGGGGAGAAAGAAAGAGAGAGGGCTAAATAGGAAGAGAGGGACAGGCACGCGTGCGAGCGCAAGGTACGTACACGGAGGACACACACGGACACACGGTGACACACACGGACACACGAGTGTACAAAACTGTACAAAAGAGATAAAAGAAGCACGCCGCAGCCCCACGCTGCTGCCGATTGGTAAAGGGAACAAGCCAAAGATACGTTAGTTTTCATTTTTATATTTAACGAGAAAAAAAAGCGAGAGAGAGAGAGAGAGAAAGAGAGAAAGAGAGCGAGCGAGAGAGCGAAAGAGAGAGAGAGAGAGAGAGAAAAGAATTATTGCGATGCTAATACTCTCTAGAACGATTGTTAGTGTTTTTTATTGCGACTTCCCGGCGCGGCTGCGCGGGGAGGGCGCGTTCTCGCGGCGGAACAGGCGAGGCGGAAGTGCGACAGGGATTATTTAGTCCCTCGGGAGAGACGCCTGAGGGTCAGGGTATCGTTGGGGAACGTCGGGAAGGTGTGCCAAACAAACAGAGGGGTGTTTCGATCGCGCGATGGGGGGGTCGACGGTCGCGGAAAACGGCCGTTTCTGTCACCGGGTAGTCCGTGGTGGAACTCCGACGCGAGTGGATCGAGGAAAGCGAGTCGGTGCGACAGGTGAAGTCGTCCACCTGACGATCAGCTGATTTTCTGACCGCCGAGGGGCACCATGCGGGCGATCAGCTGATCCGCCAACCACGTGGTCGACCACCGCACTGACAGATGCGGGCAGATCAGCTGACTTCTCGCTCGCCCACTCCGACAGCTGGCGGTCGCGACTTCCCCTCGCTCTTGGCCGCCGAAATTGCGGGGATCATGAGGTAATAAAAATAATCGCGAAGTAATTACGTAGGTGAGTAGCTTTTGCATGCGGACTCGGATTCGGAATCGGTGAAAATATTGAGCGACCGTCGTCGTCGTCGTCATGGTCGTCGCGAGTGCGCGAACCCTCCGCGTGGCCGGGGCGAGACGGGTGGTCCGAGGGTGAGCTTTCTTCCGCCCTCTTCCGTCGAGTACTTTCACTTCCTCTTCCTCTTCCTCGTCGGGAGGCAACGGCGACGCGACGGGGATCGCGGTGCGAGGGAAAGGGCGAAAATCGCCGGGTCGCGGCTCGCCTCGACCGCGCGGCGCGCGACCGATTTCTGTTAAAGGAACAAATCATTACGTGGATTATAAATAACGATATATATTTATTATACGATAAACAAATTAATTAGGCGAGATAGTAGCTAATGGAGAAGTGCGAGGCTCGGAGTACGGCTTTGAGTATAGGAGGCGTCCCTTTTATCCCCGGACCCTTACCCTCCAGGACCCGCCCTCGACCTCCGACCCGTCGAGGTCGGCGGTTCCTTTCTTGAGGATGGAACGGCTCGAAATCTCTAAACGGAATTCGACGGTGCTTTTCGGAATCGCAAGGAATTTAACCGCCCGACCTCGGTCACATCGATGCGTTTCTCCGCTCGGTCCTTGTTCCTTTTTCCCAGCCAATCGTCCTCGCTAAGGACGAGGAAAAAAATCGACAACTGGAGAGACGTTCCCCGAAATGTCTCCGCGATGATAAACCGGCGATAAGCTCTTGCACCCTTCTTCAGTCCGGCTGGAGAAGGGTGCAAGAGGAGATATCCGCGGACTCTTGACATATCCTCGATTCGCCCTCGAGTACTTCCGATGCGTGCCAAATGAAAAATCGATAGCAGGGATAGATAAGGGAATCCGTGCATATCCGTGCTTCCTGTCCCCTCCCCTACTTCCGACCGATAAGCAATGCTCGCGTTAAGTGTTGAAAAAGAGTTTTCCGAAATTCCCAATTAAATATCCTCGGCAAGGGATTCGCTCTGTAGTGCAAATTTCTCTCTACTTCGGCCCACGGACGTTCGCCTCTTTCGAGATCCTCCTTTCCGCTAACTTTCGGCAAGTTTTCACAGCCGGGCCAACCGAAACCGATTTCGTTTCAAACGCCTATTTAAAAGGAATGGTATTAGTTTCACTTATAATGGGTTCTCGAACTCCTTTTTGATATATACAGATATATATATAAATATATATATATTTTAGATAGAAATATAGTTTGTTTCCTGTTTAAGGGATTAATGAAAGTGGGCTAGAAAATAGGTTCCCGAGAATCTATCAATAATTAGCTTAATGAGGAAAAAAAAAATGTGTGAAAATGGTGGAAAAGAACCTTCGGTGGAACGTGTAGTATTATATGAGGTTTTAATGGCAGAATACGACGTCGCTAACTGCTGTGATTCATCGGCATTATTCGTCATTTATTGTAAATGTAAGGCTTAATAAGGTACGGTAAAAGTAACGTTGAAAACGTGGAAAGGGATTCTTTGTTGTTTTAAAAGGTCGGACCTTTCGGCGAATATTGGACAGAGATAAGGGAAACTATATAGTGTTCTTGGAATCGTTATCTTCCAATTTGCATTTTCAATGCGTTTAAGGGCGCGGCCAGGCGGCCCTAATTGTAAATAAGTTTCTAAATCCATCTCCCATTTTCTATTTTAAATAGGTCTTTGGAGGTACTTTGATTTTTGTAGCCTATGTTAGGGATTTGTAAATAACTGTCGGATATATATCGTTCATCCGACCGATGGTCCGCCGTCTGAGTTGCCTTCTTCTCGGTTATTTATTAAATTATTTATTTATTTCGTCGACCCCTTCGAGGCTTTCCCCTTAGACCCCGCAGAACGTTGGGACCAGAGACCGCGCGTTATCCGATCGAGACCGTCTTATCACCCGGGGCCCGAAAAATCGTCTTATCAATCGCGCCTCCACCGCGGCAAACAATTTTCATCCCCTACGAAACATCGATTCAACTTCGATTAAAAAAATCTCCCCTCTACCCTCGACCTTTCTTGAAGAATTTCTCGCCCTAATTAACATAATTAACAACTGTGGAATATTTATTATCTGAATTTTTCTTGAATCGGGCCCCCCACGGTCTTATAAAATCACCAGAGCGTTCATATCATCGATTCGCGGATTTGCACATAAAAGTGAGGCCTTGACCCGACCGGACGTCCCTTTAGCGAAGACACGAACCCCGCTTCGAGAAGAAAATTGGAAAAACAAATGAAAATTCCCCGGAAAACCCATTTTCTCCCCCAGGCCCTCCCCTCACCCTCTGTCCCGCAAAAGGCAACAGGAACCCGTGTCGCGAACCATGACAAAAAAAGGATTCAAAAAAAGAAAATAAACCTAGCAAGCAGTATCTCTCTCTCTGCGTCACCTTCTTTGTCACCCTCCGTGCGATACCTCACCTTCCACCCACCCACCCCCTTCTCTCCGTCTTTCTCTCGCCAATGAATCGATATTTCAATCGAGTGTCGTTCGAGACGTAGCCTCTGCTATAAGGAAAATCCAAGAAATACGAGAAAACCAGTTAGTGAGAGACGCTGTATGATTGTGTATATCAACAATAAATATTGCTGTGATTAGAATTCGAATATAGTGGTAGCGTTTAAGGACAATTTTGTAAAGAGACGTCGGAGCAAAAGAGGGACCGCGGCCCTCGGCGTCGCGACGCTCGACGGTCGACCTTTGGCCGCGCAAAATGGGAAACTCGGCCGGAAAAGCTCTTTTAGGAAGAGACCGGAAGAGAGAGTAGCGAGGAAATGGGAAAAGCGAGACGGGTCGATTTCGGGGCGAAGCGAGCGAATACGGAGATTCTGCCTTATTTTGTCTCTCTTCTTTTTCCCCCTCTTTTAATTTTTCTTCACATCTTTTCTAATTTTCCATTCTTTTTCACATTTTTTTCCTTCAGGCCAATCGAGTCGGACCAGCCATTTGTCCATTGTTTCACCGTCGATTGACGATTGTCGCGGTTCGAGGGTTACCGTGCTCGAGTTATCGCGAATGTCGAATATTCTCTCTTCTCCCATAGGAAGGGGTTATCTTTCCGGAATTTCCCGCGGATACGAAATTCCGCGATCGAGCTTACGGTGTTCCCTCCCGACGAGGCTCGCCTCGACCTCGTTAGCGAGGTTCCCACCGAAAAAAAAACCGGGCATTGATTTCCCCAGGACCGGAAGTAGCGAGTCGCGAGCTCGCGCTACCGAGATGCATATCCCGCGACACATATGATTAGGCTACGATTTATCTATCTCGCTCGTATTTATCCAAAAGGTGTACACGCTATTACGGGGTTTCTCTCTGGCCCGGCGAAGACGCGCAGAGAGAGAGAGAGAGAATTAGAGAACGAGAGGTGAGATCGAGAGAGCCGCACTGCCGACCCTCTCGACGCCTCTCAACAATCATCGGTTTTCTTAGGGTGGAGTAGATGCTAAGTGTCTCGTACCGATCGTTTGTTAAGCATTAAGGAATAACTCTAACTCCATAACGATATTTGTCCGAGCCGAACCTAACACGAGGGCAGGAGTTCCCCTGGGAGGGTACCAAAGAGTTGCCAAAGTCTGGAAAATCGATCCTTATCGAAAATCTAATTCTCTCTATCAGCCGATGGAGCTCGAGATGCGAGATGAACATTGTGGCAAACTCGGTCTCCCTGATTTTACTCGATCCTGTATATCGATCCAGGATTTGGACACACATCTATGGGAACTCCTGCACGCGTGTAGGGCTCGCTCGAAGGTTTGGTAGCTGCATTAGTCGTTCGTTTCGAGATTCAGTGGTGCCAAAAAGCGTTTATTTCTCTTCCCCTTTCCTGGACCCATAATTCAGGACCCCAGGGACGGACTCGCGCGTATATCTCCAGGCCTTCGTGGATTTGCTCCATTTTCCCCATTTTCTATTTCCTGTCTCTTAAAGGAATTCGCTGTTCCCGGGATTACTCCCACATATCTGTCCCGTAATTGTCACCAGGAGTCCACCTGGAAGTTGATGTCGAAATCAATGGAGGAGCCAAGTCCAAAATGGGGACGCTTGATTATGCATAAATGGCTGCATGTAGGGCCCTATACGTCTCGTTAGGGGTACATCCAGGGACTTGAAGGTACGCTTATCGGAAAACGCGTTAACTCGTCCCTAGGGCCAGGAAGGAAGTGATGAGCTGCCCTTAAATCAGGATCCCTGTTCCATTCAAGGTCCCCTTCGATTCCCTCTCGTTAATCACTCTCTCTTAACCAGTTAAATGTTTTTCGTGAATATACTCTTCATGGAAACACTTTTCAAAGTGGCCTCAATAGCTAGCTGGTTAATCAGGAGTCTGCCAAAAAGAAATATATGAAAATTAACGAGCAGCTCGTCGCTTCTGGGGTTAAAAACTCAGCCCCCGACCTCTCCCTTCGTGACCTCGACTTACGTCAACGGACCTCTCGGAGGTTCGTCGATTTTACGTCGAGGTCTCGAAAACGTTTCGTTGATGGCGTAGAGCAATCTGTTTAGTGCAGGGGCCTTATCCTTACTGCGCGGGCCCTGGCCGATTTTCGACGTCTCCATGGGCAGCTTCCGGGTCTCGGACCCCATAGACGCGATTTGGGAACCCGGAGGGGCTCATGGGGAATCCCGACCATCGGACATGTGCCCAAACGTTACCGTAACGCAAGGCAATCAGCTAAGATATATATGAACTTAGTTTTTATAGAATATTGTGTCGCGCCCGACAGGGCCGAGCGCGGCGGGAACTTGTGAGAGAAAGAGTGAGAGAGGACAAGCGAGCGCCGAGAGCGGGAGATAGAGAGAGAGAATGAGACAGGTGGATGCGAAGTCCGAGAAGAGAGGTGTCGGTGCGCCCTTAGAATTTTTCGAGATGTATTTTTTCTAAGCGATAGCGAGGCGAGGTCCCAGTGCCAATATCGCGATTCGCTAGAATCGAGAACCTACTCGATCGGCCCTAGTTTTATTCCAACACGTGCCAAGGTACTTTGGAGATTCACGTGCCAAAAGTCGAGGTTGAGGATTATCGGCTATGTTAATTATTATCGCTCCGGGGACCCTCGGAAAGAAATTAATCGAGATCCCCGGGAGGCGGTGGCGGTCCGACACACCGGCACTTCGACGTCGGGAATTCTTAAAAGTGTTAAAAAGAGAGCGCACCGCGGCCGGACAAATGAGAGACAGGGACACGTACCTACGTTATGACCTTATTAAGCTTTAATTGCGCAAGTCGAAAAAAGTCTGAATTCGTAGCTACGTTAAGGGAGGCGAACGCCGTCGAGTCGATCGGCCTCCTCGTCCTGACTGGAAGGATCCGAAAGGAGATATTAGGAATGAATTCGAAGAAAATCCCGCGGTTTGTGTCGTAAATCGGAGATAACTTTGGTCAGGCTTTATCAGAGACTTCCGGCGAGGGCGAGAGGACGTCCGGTCGATCTTCCTCCGGGAAACGGCCGCTTCCGCGAGATGTATATTCCCCTCTCTCCTAGGTAAACTCGAGTTTCCTTTTCGAGATCAGGAGCGCCATTTTGTCTTCCGTTAGCTCTTCCTAGGTTGACCCCTTTTGCGCCGACCCGAATCCTCGAAAGGGAGCAGCTTCTATCGTCATTCGTTGTTCGGTCCTGCCCCTCGGCCAAAATCAACTTACGTTACGAAGCCTTCAAAGAAACAGGGTCATAAAAATACTTACGAGTAACGTACGAGTATTAAAGGAGACATTTTTTAGGGGTGGCCGGCGGACGACGCGGAGCGCGGTTATGGCGCCGAGGGAGATAGAAAGGAGCCGCCTCGAAAAAGGAGAAGCCGCTCGTCAAAGAGGAGGGAGACCTCAATGAGTATCTCGTTTCGGATCGAATAGACCCTGGGATATTCCGTGTCAAAGGAAGCAGCTCTAGATTCTCGCAAAATCGCCCCCTCGGAAGCGATCCCTCGCGGAACTCTTTCCGCGGCATCGGCGCTTTGATCTCGAGGCCGCAATTTGCGACCTCTTCCCCTTGAATTAATTTCGCAAAAATCGCCCCTCCACTTTAAAGTGCGATTCTCACCTGCGGCTTCTCCAGGGAACTTCACGGGGTGAATTTAATCGGGTCCTTTATCCTCTAAGAATTCTTATCTCGATCCGGCTTCTCCTTCTCGACGAGCGGATTCGAATTTCGCGCGTTCGCAGAGATTTTCGTTTGGACGCCGATGGCGGGCGATGTGTAAAAAGGGACGGAGAAGAAATAAATAAATAAAAGCGTCGGCAACTCGTGGAAGGCGTCGTTCACTCCGCGATCGATTCTCTCGCACGGCTAAAAGTACATTATTCCAGGGTAAAGTGTTTTGTAAAATTGTCTGGGTACGGCAATATTTATGTAAGAAGAATAAGGTGAAGTTAGAGCTGTAACGGGCGATACTTATTAACGATTAAATCTCACGCGGTAAGGAGAGAGCGAGATGAGGCGGGAATTTGGAAAATGGAAGAGAGAGAGAAAGAGAGTCGTACACCTACGGGTAGCGAGTAGGTACGCGTATGGAGATTAATATATATTATACACGTAAGTTAAGAGATAATTTACGAGAGGGGCACGAGAAAGAGCGCACGGAAACGGGAGCAGCGGCGAGCGCCACGTATTAATATATGTATAGAGATTAAAGAAGAGGAAAAAATGAGTGGAGGAAAGGGTGAAAGAGGAAGCCATGGTGAATGGCGAATAAGGCAGGCTTTGCGAGTCGTGTATAAGAGTGCGATTGTATCGACTGGTGTGGAAAGGAGTGCTTTACGTTAGTGGACTACTTTAACCCATAGCTCGACGTACATATCTCTTTGAACTCGGTTCGAGCCCGACGCGAGTGGAGGCGATGGTCAAATAATGTCTAGATACCGAAAAATCCGACACCTGGACACGAAACACTTGTACACCTTGCTTCGGAGGTACAAAAAGGTTGGATATGATTTATGGCGACGAATCGAATATTCTATCTCGTTAAACTCGAGTCCAGGTGCTTCTATCGTAACTCGAGGGACTAACGTGAGAAATCTAATTCAGATCGATTTAGGCACCGAGGAAAAATAATAGTTTGAATGATATATGACTGCGAGAAACAATTATTTCGTTAAGAAGAAATAATCCACTGTATTGATTGTAAAATCTTCGACTCGTCCCGTGAATGGAGTGTTTCTACTTCTTATCGCCGGAAAGTGGAACTTTTCAGGTTCCGGGACCATCGCGTCCAGCCGAGCTGGGCGGGTCGCGAAGTAGGAACTGTATAGACCCGAGATATAAGACATAAGTGACCCTCGCCCAAAATCAGTCTACATATCAGACTTCTAGCTAGGCGTCAAGTTTTACCCCCTCGAAGTACCCTTAAAGGACCCTCGCCTTGGACCCCTCCCTCCTCCGAGATATCCACCTTGATCGATCAGTCGTTCCCGAAGCGTATAGCGTATCCTAGGGATAAATCATATCTACCGTACTACTATTACTACTCCTACCACTAGTACTATTACTGCTACTACTAATCTACTACCGCTGCTATACTACTACCACGCCACTTTGTCGCCACCCGCCACCACCCACACACCACACACGACACACCGAGACATATCTCAGCCAGCTGACGGATACTTGATGACCGATCGATCCGATAACCAATCGGCGGTATCGATAGCCGATCGACATAGAAGTTTTGATCCAGGAACGAGCCGAGCTCGTCGATCGTTTGGACAGAATCGAGATATCAAGAGTTTCCGGTGAGTGAAACCACTGATAAGAAGGAAGGGCAGGATAAGGAAGAATCGGCTTGCTCCTGGAATTAAGGGAAAAAGTCTCGTCGGTCAGTTAATAGCCAACTCGATGATTTTCCATGATAATTCATCGATGGTATCGATCGATCGGCGCTGATCGACCCGGAAATTCGGATCGATCGGCACCGATCCACCCGAAATTTCCAATCGATCCAGAAATTCCAATCCAGGAACGAGGCGAGCTCCTATCGTTTGTACTGAGATTTTTCATCGATATCAGGGCTTTCCAATGAAACTACCGATAAGAAGGAGGAATAAGAAAGAATCGGCTCGCTCTTGGAGCGAAGGGAAAAAAAGTCTCGTCAGCCAGCAGAAGGATGGCGAGGACCCTCGTCCCTTCGCGCGTTCTTCTACTCCTTCTTCCTCCTCTTGATCTTCTTCGTCTGTACAGAGCTGCATAGAGCTATAATTCCCGGAGAGAATGGGGAAGGAAATTGTCTGACATTGTGATATAACGAGGGAAGGAAGGAGACTCTGCTCGGAGAAGGAGCGACGGGACGTGCAATCGCAGGACATGCGTGTCCTTCGCGCGAGTTTCGAGACCCCCTGCTTTCGCGAATACGCGAAGAGTACTTTCGGCCGTGCATTGTTATGTATTTTCTATTAATTATATATTTACGCGATCGGTAGCTCCCCTTGTTGATTAGTTGACGCGTAGTGAGACACCCAAGAGCAGCGATCGAGGCAGGATTCTCAGCTTCTCAGGATTTTACGGGATTTTTCTGAAAGATAAATTAGTCCTTACTAAAATTTCTCTTAAGAATAATAAAACTAATCGAATCTCAGTGAAAATCTTGAATCTACTCCTAGAAGAAAAAAAAAGAAATAGAAAGAAGGGGAACCGATCATTAAATATCAAGCTCCCTCCCTTGCAAGCCCCGTTTTTTTAAATCTTTCCGGAAGTTCCCTCGTAACTGAAGTGCATACTCTCCTCGGGCCCAACTTTCGATTAAGAGATGAAAAGAATCGGGAAAGAAAATGAGAGAACAAAGAAGAGGGAGGTCGAAGTTCCTGCCGAAATATGAAATTCTGGGGAAATATTGCTCCGCGTTTCCCCGCAGAATTCCCTTTGAGGAAGTCCCTCGTGAGCCAAGGTTATTAAATTATATAATAATAAAGGGTATTAAGAGTTTTAATTTTCAAGTCCCTTTACTCAAAAAGTCGCCTCGATCGTCAGGCCAGGGTTCACTAACATTATCATCGATTTTCATTTGCCATCGAGCTTAATTCGCTCGAGGTATCTTCCCCTCCGGAATCGCAGAAGGCCCTTGCAAAATTCCTTGGTCCATTGTTTTCCATATTCCCCCCTTTTTTTTCTATTTTCTTTTATCTCTTCTAATAACTAGCGCTTCCCTCGCCGAGTTGCAAGGGATATTCGCGATTCCGGTCGATCGGTAAAGCCCGTTTTCGTTTCTCCCCCCTCGGACCCCACGTACGAATGATACTGTTGTATACGTAAGAAAATGTCTATTGTACGATATATATATGTATATATATATTGTGCGCGAGACCTCGTATGTACGTCGACTCGCGGCGCCCTATTGGGCGCCAGGATGGAAAGAAATTGAAAATAAATGAAAGAAAACGTAGAACGGTTCGCGGTAATCGCGTGGAGGTCGGAGGTCGACTCTGGGAAGGCAGTCGAAGAGTTCTGGATGGTGGAAGAAAATCAGGGAGGACAGATGAAAAATATATAAAAAATTAATTAACAGACCCTTCTCGAGCGGACCTCCGAGGCCACGCGGCGACGCAACGCGAGCCAAGAACTGAGCTGACGGCGCGACTCGTTCTTAGCAATGTATTTATTTAATCGATATTTAATTGACAACTGTACATACGCATACACGTCGTTATTTATTGTCAGCGTCAGGTGCCGGCTAAATTCGCTCGGCACCCTCCGTCGTTACACCCACGATACCATACGAGAACGCATCGGAAACCGTCAGGTTGTTCGACGCGAACTTTCGGATTTTCACCTCGAGGGAGACGTAAAAATCCGCACTTTCACGGTGAACAAATTTAAATGCCCTGCGCAGGGAAATCGGTCCTTCTACCACCGCCGAGTTTCTTTACTCGGTTGGAGCAAAAGTCAGGTCGCAGACCGAAGACTCTTAAAGTAAGCGAGTGATTCGATGAATATGCGATACGCCTATGTACCCGTGTATATATCTATGTACATAGGATAGGCATTCGTTTCATTGGACGCGTTTTTGGTGTGCGTCCTGGCTTAAGGGGATGTGAAAGTGGTTACACAGAGGTCCCGTTAATGAAACTATTCTATGAACTGCGTGTACCGAGTCGCGTCAAACTTTGCAACCTAAACATGAAGGCTATAAGGAAGGTCCTGGCCCTCGTGAAATTTCAATTTTTATGCAAAATTTTCAAAATATCTATAGAGAAATTTTGGAAAAATTGATATTCTACGCGCGTAGGGACATTCCTTTTAGCCTCCGTATTCACATTGTCAGGTTTGAAACGATTCGGTACACCCAGTTAGGAGAAAAGTCTGATTAACGAGACCTTTCGCATCACCTTAACAGAGAAGGCGCGCGCGGGTTTGTCCATGCCTGTCGTAAAGAGACTCGCCTGAGTCTCGCGCCAAATACAGTGCGGGGCCCGACACTTCCAGGTCTTACTTAAACTCCGATGTACTTAGGTCGGCAACTCGTTAGCAAGGTGATCGATGTTGGCTTGCGATCGATCGACCACACGAGTACACAGGAGGCGTACCGAGGACTCGGTTGCACGTGCATACTCACGAGACACACACACAGACACACACACCTAGACACGCATACACCCACACTCGCGCGAGTATACACGAAGTACACGTAAATACAAGTACGCTCGAAGAGAAGACCCCACCCGGTTCTTTGGAAGCACCGATCTTGATTCTTACCAGCACTCATGATCTTGAATCAAACATTCTCTTACCGGTTAATGAAAAGGACAAAAAAAAAAGAAGAAATAATCACGGATTACTACCGCTCGATAGTAACTTTAATCTTTGTAAGGGCAATAATATTGTAAATTTCGAGTACACTGTATTTGAATGTGTAAGTTGCATAAAAAAGACAGATTTTTTAGATATTGCACTATATGATATTTATTATTGTAAGGCGACATCACGCAGGCAGGCTCGGTCGCAGACTGGGGGTGATCGGCTCTCTTGGCGATCCCTCGAGGGCGATCGCGGATCGATATCGATCGATATCGATCGGTCCCGATCGGCCGGGACGGGGAGCCGCCATTTTGTCTCGAGCTTACGCCGAAACTGGCCGACCACCCCGGGCATGCGACGATTATGAATTAATATTATTAATGCGGAGGCGAAGAAACAACAACAAAAAAAAAATGATATGACGATGATGCGGATACATTGTTCTTTCCATAAAAGAAAAGCAAGATTTTTAGTGTTTACACTACGATTGATATACAATTCTATTATTACATACTATTATATTAATAACAATATTATTATTGTAATGTTTGTTTTTGGTTATTAAAGTGTGTATATAGCAATATATTCTAGAAACGCTATTGTCTGGTGATTCGAGTTCTTCAACCTGGGGAGATTTTACTTTTTCGTTTCAGGGGTTTTCTTTTCTGTTTTGGCTACAGTTTTTAGGTTAATTACGAGGGGGCTGACATTACTGACAATTTGAAGTGCATACCTAACGTGTAATGAATATTTCTTCCCGAGGCGTCTTTCGGCTGAAGGAAGTTATTTAATGTTGGAAACAGATGAGTTGGGAGATTGTTCACGGGCAGGGTCGCGCGATCACATCCTGTGCTGCCCTCTGGTTTCGTACGTTAGCTTTCACCGTTTTTTGCCCCCAATCAACCATTCGAAGCTCCGCATCACGTCGACTTCGGGGCAACAGTGTACTTTAAAGTTTTCTTCATTTTTTTTTCATCTTTCGCCGACTGGTGCGATCCGCGTTTTATTTTTTGATTAATTTCCGTAGGTTATAAAAATTGTATATAAAGTATAACTCAACTCTCGAGCACCCACATTGCAGTTTTGCCTGTATCATTTGCGGATAAAATAAATAAGGTAAGTGAAGGGTAAAGTCAAAGAGGGCGCCACGAGTGTTCTTTCCTTACCATCGAAAGCGAGCAGTATCGGTAAGCGCAGGTAAGCCACCACCGTCAACTGCCGCATGGTATTACCATCACGAGTACGTAAGCCGCCAACGGCGACTGGTAGATGGTACCGCCATCGCGAGTGCGCGAGCTCCTATCAGAAATTCGTTGCGCCGCCCTTGGGGGCAAAAAACGGTGAAAGCTAACGTACGAAACCAGAGGGCAGCACAGGATGCGATCACACGATCCTGCCCGTGAGCAATCTCCCAATTCATCTCTGTTAATATTTCAGCACAAAAAAATACGTAATAATGAGTGAAAGTATGCACGGAACATTTATTTCCGAAAAAGTTTCAAAAATCCGATGGAAACGTGAAGATTTTACCGAGGCTAAGACGTTTGTAACTGGGAGTTGGGAGAATCCTGTAACTTAACCTCAACATATATTTTTATTATTCATTCTTTTAATTCTATTGTGAAAAGTATATTCTATTGAGATGTAGTGTTTCATTCAAGAGAACACATCATTTAGATAATAACTATTACGTGGTTTTGGATAGGTCAATCAGATTACATACTGGACTTTTGAAGTTAACGACGATGAGCTGTATCCAGTTGTAGTGTCCTCGCACGCTTTTTTGGGAGATGTTACGGAACTGAAGGTAATAATTACTATTTTGTAAATAAACATTTTTTTTTTATTTATATTTCTTGTGATCTTTTAGTTTATATCAAAAGATCGGTTTGTGGCATCTTCATCAGTAGGATCTATAAAACTTCTACAAATACAGGATAATCCATACACTCAGTTCAAGGAGGTTATGTTATGGAAATATGTACATAACTTTAGGTAAATTTATTTAATGATTGGATAAGTATTTGAGAGACATTCCAATGAAACTGACGACATTGAACCGATTCCAGTGTATCAACAGATTTTGCTTCTTGCACGGCACTTTCTACCTTCGAAGAAGATATAGTTTCAGTAGGGGAAGATGGAAGAATTAATCTGCTAACAGCTCGAGAAGAGAATCCAGTGAGGATAATAGGTAAATTTCTGACCATCGTTAAAGTGATACTTTATATTGGTTAATAAAATTTCTCATATTAATGAAATATTTTAATTACAGAAAATGCTGATAGTTGTTCCCTACACTGTGTCGATTTTTTAAGACACAGTGAAATACTGACAGGGAATTTACGAGGCCATATGAAGGTGTGGGATTTAAGAAGCGACCAAGACATACCTGCTACCACATTCATGCTCTCTGAACAAGTGAAGGTAAAACGATATTTATTTTTGAATTTGTAAACGATTTTTTAATTCCTAATTGTATTCCTTAATAACGTCATGTTATAGACCGAAGCCACAAGCATTGCGCATCATCCTACTCAGAGGCACATTGTTGTAGCCGGTGGAGGTGACGGTAGCTTAACCGTCTGGGATTTGAGACGCAACACATATCCCATATCTCAGTTAAATGCACATTCCAAAGCCGTTGCTGAAATAATGTTTCACCCTGACAGACCAGAACATTTATTTACGTGTTCTCTTGGAGGTGAATTATGGCAGTGGAACGCACAAGGTTCAAAGCTCAAACCAGGTAAGCGACTTGAATTAGTTTAAATCTCAATTAATGTAAAGGCACGAGTAACCAATGTAAATAATGTATTAGATACAGCCGATAAGCACTGGTTGAATACCGTTGGAGCAAATGGGAATGTCAATGTAACGTCATTGTGTTCAGCGCTGCACAAACCTATAAACAGTATAGATGTTGACCGATCGACGTTGCTATGTGGCTGTGATAACGAAGCTATGTACGTTATTAAAAATATAATGCTTTGAGATCCATAGATAAGGAACTGTTTATACAATAAATGAAGAAAATCTACATCGTAATACGAAGCCAACGGAGCAGAGGTTTATAAATGGAATGTAGTTACTTCTAATCGTCCCTTCGAAAAATATCTTGCGTCTCGCTCGAACTCAACGCGCAGGGCGCGTTTCTTACATCGCTGAATGCTACCAGTTTCTTGATGGTCTTCCGATGGCAATGGAGAGAGGCTTTAAAAAATAAGACATTTTTATTGATGCATCATCCAGGATACAGTCATAGCTGAATATGCGACTTTGATTACAAAGTATGGAACCATTCCGTGATAATGTAAGCGCATATTGGACACAGTGAGTTTGCTCTCTGTCGTGTGCAAGAAGGAATACAAAAAGGAACGCAGGACAGTTTATTCCTCGAGATTACCGACGATCTGCTCGTACGTGTCGTTGGAACAGTGAAAGTAACGATCACGGTGGAATCATACGACTACCTTGGCGATCTTTGCCAATTTCGTAGCTGTAAGAATACTTCTCCGTATCTCGTTTACAACAATTGTAGACTTAAGGATGTTATTCTCGATTTTTGCTTTGTATTATTTCGCTTGGCGGATCTACGCTACAGCAATCGTGATACGATATCTACACCTTATCGTTTTACAGTCCTATCTTAAGATGCTAATACGCGGGGATTACATTTCGGTCAACTTTCGAAAATATTCGTAATAATCGCGAGAATATATGATAACCGGTTCGTAAAAAATATATCCACTCGATCACACATGAAATCGAATTTGTACTAAATGAAATGTTTCGATTTGTCGGCTTGATTTTGAATTAGCGACGGAAGTGTTCATACCGATTAACGACGTATGAGTTAATGTACTTTTCTGTTAACGCACAATTATCTTATTACCCTTCGGGTGATTGTTCAATGCACGCTCGAAAATCGGCCGAAATTTCATCCCCGTCTGTGATTCTTACAATGGATTCCGATGCGCGTTTTGCCAGCACGATTCGCGAGATGACTCGTCATAATAAAAGGATTATTTAGGAAAGACCGGGAAAACTGTACAGTGTTTCTCGCGCGTCACCCAGTCTCTGTGTCTAAAAGATATTTTCTGTACAAAATTACACTTTGCGTTTACGCCTACCTAGGGTGCAACGAAACATGGCAACGCAACCATCCCTGGATAAGGGCCAAGAAACAGCACTACGGTTTGCTTAAAAATCCTGGAAAATTAGGATATCCAAGTATTCGGTGAAAAAGACTCGGTATCTACCTAACCCCGTAGATTTACATGAAGTCACCGCACACGATATCAACAGCAAGTTGCCACATTTAGACACACCTGAACCGCGAGTCCCCTTTGCGTGGTCGACCAGATCTTAAATGTCTACATGCCCGTACATCTGCATGCAAGGATATTTACCGCCCATCTTACGTTTTAACCATAATTACAATGACTACTTGTTATATAACAGCAAGTCTATACAATAATATATTATTCCTTAAAAGCGTTTGGTTTTCCCAGAGTATTTTTGCTTCACGATAGTAGCCGGAAAATACGTACTGAAACCTGTACCAAATGCGCCCATTGTTGACGCGCGTCAAGATCCTTTGTTAAAATTAATCCTTGAGAATTTTCGATAAAACGTCTGCGAGAAATTATACAGTTATGCGGTAAGGGAGTGCAATTGTTATCCGAGTAGGTAATAACTTACTATACGCGGGAGATATATGTATATATATATATATTCGAGGAATCTTTTCTTTGTCGAGGTATCGTTGTAATGGATCCTTGCTTGTGACAATTGCATAGAATTTACGGGGATTCGGCTTGCCGTGCACTTCACGACCGTCGTAATTTTAACTACGGCTGGAACTTTGTTTCACCTTGTACATTTTATCGAGAATTCGTTGGAATTTTCTTTTAACGCGTGTTTTTAAACCGACTCCGTTCCGGGGGTTTACAGTCGGAACTTTACAGGTTTATAGGATGTCCAACTGTTAAACCTATTTCCCGTGTAAACGCCTCGGCTGGTCCTTGCGACTTTATTTTCCTAAGAATGCTCTACGGTCGAAATGACAAACACGCCGTGAACAATTTTTTATTTCACGTTCCGGGGTATCTTCGGTGCAGATCCTTTAATTTAAACCGCAACCAAGGATAGTACAAAGTAACTATAAAAATGATAAGGCTCAGATCTATCAGTTTTTACTGCCATTAAGGAAACACGTTTCAGGGAAATCCGGAAAATAATTACAATCCACAAGGTGTTTCGATTTTCCGCCATACGAGGTATCTTTCCTTTTTCTTCTCCCAAATATTGAACGCACGTTTAAATCGGAAGTTCCCCCGATAATTCCCGAAAGAGCTTTACGATACTGTAACATGTCTCGTTGATATTCTTTACGTACACCGCGCTTCGTAACGACACATCCTAATCAGTCGCGACCGACCATGATTTGTACACTAATTTCCCCTTGTAATGCATAATCCTAAATAATGTAAATAATGTAATCGCGTTGTCAATCTCAGCTTTCAAGTGCTCGACATTTAACACGGTATCGATATTTCGTCCTCATCAACTCCGATATCCTCTTAATGGAGCGAATTTCATGAGGCGATGCCAATTAGGAACATGTCGATCGCGTTTCAAACTTACATTGCACCAAGAGTACCCACGTATACGCACGCACTTACTCACGCACACCGAGATACTTTGCGGGAATAAATTAAGCCCAGCTTCGTAGTCTAACACCGACCCTCGAATTGATTTAGAAAAGACTAGAGTCGAGGCTAAGGATAAAAAGAAAAAAGAAGAAGAAACTGTACGTAGATCATTGGTCCGTTAGTCTTTGTATGCTCTTACAGATGTCCTCTCTTTCTTTTGTCTTTCCTCTTTCCCGCGGAAGGGGGAATGTGAGGGTAGTTTATCGTGAGAACGCGTGCTAAGGCTCTAAAGCCGAGTGAAACGCGGTTTTTCCTCTCGTTTCCCCCGAGGACACGCAGGATTCCTTGAGTCCTTCCTCCCTTTTACGACTTTTCTGGTCGTCCTTCCCAGATACGCGGTTCCTCCTCCTCCACCTTCTGAGGTCTCCTCGAGGTGCTGGTCCCCATTTCTTCGGGGCTGTTTCGGATCCTACCGGAAGTAGGATCCCAATAGGATATTCTCATATCCAGGTGTGAACTCGCTGCTGCTGGCCGACGTCTTCCTCCTGTCAGGAAACGTGCCCTCGGCTTTGGGAGGTCCTCCACCTCCTTCCGTGTCCTCTGGGGTGCACCGGGAATCTCCCGTTCCCTCCATGGGCCGACTGCAGGTGCAGTGGTATCCGCACCGTGCCTAAAAAATGTAGAAAAATGGAAAATTATCCTTCATCATTTTTATCACCATCTACAAGATCGTCCCTCGTCGCCGCGACCGACCGCACGGATGGAAATATTTGGGGACGTCATGGACTAATTACGCGTACATTCTCGACCTGTACTCGTACTTCCTCGTTGGTATCGCACCCTTGAGTGGCGTAATACCGATACTTAGTACGAGATTATTGGGACGGTTACGCGAAAGCCGATTTCCCCCGACTCGGTATCCCGCGACACAAGAGACGAATCCATGTCCGGATCGTTATGCGACAGGTATTAATCCGAGAATTGCATAACCCCGGTCACCGGTATTCGGACTCGACGAATCTCCAGAAGACGAGGAACCCTCTGCGTAAATCTAGATTTCTATCTCCCCGGATTTATTATTTAATTCCCCTGGAAAACCCTTATACAGACCCATACCAGAGATCAGCTGTCAGCGCCACGTGGTCTTTGAAAATGTCCAGAAAAAAAGAAATAAAAAATATAGAAAAATCGGAACGATCTCTGGAATGATTTTAACTATTGTAGCGACGTTTCATCGAGGTATTTGGTATGGGGGGCAGGGGAATATTTATTGGGGGAGGCTGGTCCTTGACGTATTTCCGTCCGTGCGACGCAGCGCGGGGGAGCCGCGATCTTACTAGCCGAGGGCGGTCGCGATGGCGATGGTGGTGGTGTTCGTGGTAGAGGTAGTGTCAGTGATGGTGGTTATGGCGGTGCTGGGGAAATCGCGGAGAGAAATTTCGGTGGGAAGTTGGCTATGGCGGTCTTTCGGGGTAGCCTCTCGGTGGTCCTGGGGCTCGAGCGAGAGTCGCGACCGCGACTCGCTCCGGGGCGTCGTCGGCGTCGTGGTGGACGCCGTGGTCGACGCCGCTGGACAGGGACGCTCCGAGGAGGCGCAGGACGTACCGTTCCGAGATATCCTGCTGTGGGCCTCGGGACTCCCCGTACAGCTGTAGCGAGATGTCACAGCCTCCGAACGAGAGAGCGAGGGCTCTGGGGTCACTCGCACGCATGGGCACCATGAGAAGAACTGGGCGAAACCCCGCCGGAATCTGCGATTATCAAAAGATATCATTATTGGTGGATTTGGAACGGGGGATGGAAGGATGGATAAAAATCGAGGAGAGTTTATGAAATTGGAGAAAAAGATGAGAGAGCGGGGGCGTCACTCGTACGCATGGACACCATGAGAAGAACTGAGTGAAATCTCGTCGGAAATTGCGATTATTAAAAAATATCATTATTATGGAATAGAGAATATCTTTTAGAGCGGGGGAAAGGTTCAAAGGGAAATTGTATTCCATAATGTGGGAATTTTTTATTCTAATGCCGAAAACGTTTGTTAATTGAATCGTGCCGATGCAATCGATTTACTATGGGGTTATACGTGGATATATTGCGATATTTCAATTATACCAGTGCTGGTACGATAGTCGTCATGGTATGTCGAGGAATCGAGCACAAGTTGATAGGTACAAAGGCGTGGCTTCATTTTAATTCTTTTTTGTATTTCTTTTTAGTTTTGGGGAGGCAATTTATATACGCGAAAAGGATCTTATTCCGCCCCGAATCTTTGGATGAAGAGGGAAGTTTGTTTACGTCGTGATGGGGAAAGTTGAGGTGCCCCTGTCCGTCGAATTTCGAGCGAGTTATTACGCGGCGCATTTTCTCTCGCGTCCCAGGGGTGGTTGCAACAAGTAGGTAAATTTAAAGAGGGGAGTTTCGAGGGTAACTTTGGGCCGAACGAGGGTAAACGCGATCGCGAAATTTTGAGAAGCCCTTCCTCGGTCGACGCTCGTGGAATTTAAAACGCGAGACTCCATCGCGGGTATTTTTCGCGTCTCTGCGAGCGGCTTTAATAACGACGTTCTGCTCTATAAATCGCCAAAAATGGGGTCGGAACGAGTATTTCCGGCACTAGTGCACGCTTTAAATACACGATTATTGGATTAATGCGCTTTTGTACCGCGGACACCTTTGATACCGTATATTCAGGCGCGGTCAAACCGATAATTGAAAGGAAAAACCCGATATGGCCTATTTTATCAGCGATTCCGTTTCGCCCGATGCCACGAATCGCAGATCACCAGACCCTTACATAATAATTGCGGAAAAATTGCGATCATTAACCAGGCAACAAGGCGACTCGCGGTAAACCTCGATCCATCATTTTATGAAATTGTAATTAATATTCAGGAGTACTTTTCCTAGGTCTCTGAAATTATCACTTAAATTATGACGGAATGACTTTAAATCTCTTCCTTCGCGGCGCGGCGTCTCTTATCAATTAAGGTCGTTCGAAAATCGCGTGGAAACGAGGTCAGGGAATATACTTCCGGGGTAATCCGGACGGCTTCGTGGGTTTGCTTTAAATATTCCCTAATTGGATTAAAATCTCTCCGAGATTGGCTCTGGGGCCATGTTTGCCCCGCGAAGTCGCATAATCGCGCGAACGACTCCTTTGTGGGCTACGTCCTTTTGTACTTCGTAATAAACATCATTTGTGACGTGGATCTGCGACGCCTTCATTAATTACCGCTAGCCTTGCAGATAGCCCGTTTTATGCCATGTACACATGTACGGTTCTTACTACACATTGTACCTCCCAGGCCTTTTGTTTTCCTCGCAATTAGCCGAAGTGAGCGCTCGGAAAAGTTCCATAACTAATTAGCGAAGAAAGCATGTCGAGGACTTTTTACCGAAGAGGATAAATAATTTCCCCCGTAAGGGCATTTTTTTTCGCGGTCATTGTCCTTAAAAATCGGTATTATCGCCGTTTAAGGCGATGCGAAACCCGCCCATGTTATTTTGATAAGTGATAAGTGATGATGATAAGACACTTTACATTGAGGATATCGCATACAAATTGTCTGAATTGTCCGAACCGTTCTCCCATATCTCGATCATCATACAATTCTTCCTTGAATGTACTTAATATAAACGTCGGTAACTTGTGCTGTTTTATATGGTATGTCGGTCGGAGAATTTTTTACAGAGCGATTATTTTGACGGGCTTCGCTTTGCCTTAAGGGCTGTTAAACCGCGCGTGGCGGATTTACTTTGCGGATTTTTCCAACCGAGATGGAAACGTGCCTCGGGCAGTTACTTTGCCTCGCGCCCCGATTGATCTCCGATTGATCGGCTTGAAAAGTATTCGGATCGGAAAACTCGTAATCGGCCTCGCTCTATCAATTATCAGTCCCGCCCGTGGAGCGATTCCTCTGCCAATCTCGAGGGTTGCGCTTGACAGCGTAATTGGGAACGCGGTAACGACCGACGTACGTACCTAGAATTCATCCAGCAGTAGATGATGGGGTTGTACATACTGTTCGACATGGCTAGCCAATAGATGGCCAGGTAGAGCTCTTGGATGTAGGGCTCGTTCGTGATTTCCGGCAGGTACGACGTCACGATGAAGTACACGTGAAAGGGTAGCCAACATACCGCGAAAATCACCACCACCACGATCATCATCTTGACCACCTGAAAAAAAAGAAGAATCCTCATTACCCCAGAATACATAAAAAATTTACACCTGCAATGTGGAATTTCAACCAACACATTTCAATCACCATCACGATCATCGTCTTGACCACCTGAAAAAAGGATCTTCGTTGCACCAATACATAAAAAAAAATTAATGCTCATCAGTTTCGAATTTAAGTCAACATACCACAATCATCATGACTATCTAAAAAAAGTGATCCTAATTACCCCAGAATACCTAAAAAGAACATCCACCAATTTTTATAAATCTTTTGAGATTCTCGAATCGAAACGAGAGAAAGGGGAGCAAAAGAGGGTAGGTTACGTTGGGAAAAAGTAGGATCGAAATTTCGTCTCGGGTTGCCCCAAAGGACGCGGGCGATAAAGAGGCAAAAAGTCAGCCTCAACCCTCTAACTCCTGGGTAACGATTTACTTAGGCATTTCCGATCGACACAGAACAGGACGAGGACAGACGAGAGCGAATCCGAAGAGGGCTCGTCTTCTGGGGGTGCGAGGGTGCTTCCAATTCCAATTTCTCGCTCGGGGTGGCAGGACAATTAAGCGCGCGTCGAGTCCTTCGTCGCTTAGGATAAGGGTCGAAAGAGGATGAGGACGGGATCAACAAGACAGGGCAGGAGTCGAGTGTAAACTGACATCGGGACCCTTTCGTCGGATGCACCCCCCGGGGATAAAATATTCGGGAAAGTCCCAGGGAACCGCCACTCACTCCATAAATTGGGAATAAACGGTCGAAATGTTAGAAAGTCGAGATTAAAATACATATGTCTGTCCATGATGTATGTTGGAAAAATTTGTCATGTCTGGTGGTGCGAAGAAGTCCACATGGGGGTGGAATCATTGCAAGTTTTTGGCGTAACGAGATTACTATCACATAAATGAGAGCCTCCATGGCGACGAGTGCTTTCCTTTCCTCCCTGGCATTACTCTTTCTGATCGTTTCATTCTGCTCGCATTTAAGTTCCTTAACTAAGTGTCGTCCGTTAAAGTTATCTCGGGTTCGAAACGACGCCTCGCTTCGCGCGAACGGCCGGATAAACGAGCTCATAGGGCGAGCAGCATCTTCCGGCCTGATTATCTGCAACCCTTGTGGGGCTCCTAGACCATCCCCTAAAACGGCGCCGGCTGAGTGACACCATACAGTTTTTACGATTGACTTACATTTTCATATTCCACCTGAGAGGAGGAAAATACCTCCCAGCGAGGGATTGCTCTCCTAGGGGTGGTTCTCCATTTTTTTCTTCCTTCCCTCGGTAATATTCCGATTGTAGGGGTGGATCGCGAGACAATTAGAAAGCAGTAATGGGAAGCCACTGTCGTTATCCACAGTTATCGGAAATATTCCGCGTTTCCCGGTTTCACCGGCTTTACCGATTATCCACCCCCATCGACGTTATACTTATAGAAACTACCCCTCCGATGTTCGCCGACTCGCTCGATGGCCCTCTTTCGTCGTTATTTAAGGAAACCCTTAAATTCTGACGAATCTTGATTCGAGTTCAAATGCCTCGTCTACCTCGATTTGACGTTTCGAACTCGTAGAAATTCTTTATGGGGGATTCTTTAATCGCGGTTTCAGGGGCTGATCCTGTTAGGGGTTGGAAGAGCACGATTAGTGGTACGGAGACTTGTAACTTCTTCACTGTCCGAGATCGCCGTTTAAGATACAGGACCCGCGGATTTCGAGGGGATGTCTCCCCTATCTGCTCCTTAGAGAGAGAGGGCGAACTCTTGATAGAGCGTATAAAAAAAATTGATTTTCCCATTAAGGCTTTATTTCATTCCGAGCCCTTGGGGACGTTCCTGTGTACCTTGGCTCCTACCTCGAGAATATTGCGAGCTTTATACAACCCCCGATCGTCGTGAAAGTGATCGCCGAGATTATCTTCCCTCGTCGCGAGATGTTTTTAATCAATATTTTTCATAAGCACCGGGCTGATCAATGTGACGTAAATTCGAGTTTTAGGAACCCCTTGGCTAGGGAATTTCTTTCCTGGGGGATACTTTGGAAGACACGTTGATGTCGTTTCGAAGTTTTCTCTGTCGTAATGACCGTTTCTCATTATCGACCTTCCCTATCGCGGCGGGATGCTTTTAATCAATATTTTTCATAAGCACCGGGTTGATCAACGTGATGTAAATTCCAGTTTTAGAAACTCCTCGGCTAGGGAATTTCTTTCCTTGGGGATACTTTGGACATTTTCCAGGATGACCAATTTGGTATAAATTCATTATCCTTTCCAATCGTCCAATCAATGTCGGAATTGAGCATTCGCGCGGAATGTCTATCTCGAAGAAACGACACGTCGATGTCGCTTCAAAGTTTTCTCTGCAGAATTTCATTTCACGATACACGGCGTTCCGTCGTGTACGATCTTTCGCCTCGAACTTCCTCCGAGGAAACATTTTTTCCACAATTCTCCTCTCCCTCTCCATCACTCGGTAACTCGAGCTCCGACATCTTATCCGAAAGAACGTCCGTAATCGAATCTTCTCCTTCGAGCCATTATGGGGACGTCATTCAACCTCGCGTAATGTCAACTCATACCGGTCACTCATTTCTTTCTTTTTTTTTTTTTAGATAATCTGTATCGGCGAAATTGGTAAAATGGACAATGCCATTCTTTATCATTTCTTTTTTACGTTTTGGGGCTCACTGGTATACCTACTCGGCTTTAATCCGAATTTGATTGACTCGAATGAGCCATTTTCGATTACTAATGGCTGAACCGAGTTCCAAGACTCAACATTCACTACTGAGGCTTCTTTCTAGCCATTTTGATAACGGAGGGAAAAGTATAAAAAAATCTATGTTAATATTCTCTGCGGACAAATCCATCGGGCTGATATCGATCTCTCTGCAGCCGCGTCAGGATTTCTTTGGTAGAGAACGAAAAGGCTCGTCGATCTTCCTAAAATCGTGGCTATGGCGTAATTATGCCTCCTAGGTGCGTGCAGGGTCTTACATTTTAATCAGACGTAATTACACAGTCGCACAACCGGAGACCAGACACGGTCATTAGAGGAAACAAGACGAAACGGGAGGTCCCTCATGGGGACGTAATCCGGGTACAAGGACCTGAAAATGATAACATTTTATGGTCGACAGGGCTTATTCTGTACCTGGGTTTTATTCTCATTTACCTTAAAGGATGATTTCCATTGACCGGCACGCGAAGAAATATTTCCTACGCGAATAATTACTCTGACGAGAAATGTAGAAAAATTGAGCTAGTCGAGAGGAAAAGTTCCTGGCTTACAACCACAGTGCCCAGGATCTCCCCTGAGATTCCAACTGAGTGGCAACTCTATAATCTCAGTAGTAAAACTTTAACCATGGCCATTCCCAAAGGCACGGCCAATGTGCCCCAGTAGATGTCCGACTCGTTTACCCATCTACAAGCTGCAGAGGCTACTTGCAACTTCGCCATGAAGCATGCAATGCCCTTAGAATTTTCACCGACCTCGAAGATCGTCTTTTCGGTTTATCTCCTCTATATTATAAATTGATGGTAAAAGAACACGCTATTTAGAGCCATTTAACCTGCCTTGAGAGATCGTCAGATCCTTTTTATTTCTTTACGAGGTGGGTTAAAGATCAGGTATTTCTGAAGCGATGAGGTATTCCTGAAATGACGAGGTATTTCCTAAGTGAAACTTCATATTGCACGAGGATATGCCTTAATTCCCATGTCATGAAGAGGATCCGGGAAAGTGAAACGCCGTATTTTACAACTTTCATGGGAGAATAATTGGGGATAATTAATAATACGTAATAATCCTCCTTAACCGGGAAGATTGACTTTAAAAAATTTACAACCCGCGCGTCGGCCATGCACGATTTTTCTTTTTTTCTCAAAAAATCCACCAGGTACCAGAAACCCGAATTTTGAGTTCCTACGATCAACTTTCGCGTGGGAAATTGACAGCTTTGGATAAGAGTTTGAAATATCGACCAGTGAGGCGACCTCGCAAGAATGGAAAATTTTTCATGAGAATCTGTTCGTATGTGGAAAAAAAATCCGTATGACGGGGTCCTTGGTCAGGATCGAATCCGGTGGAAAGTATCGGCGACGAAGCCTCGATAAAAAGTATCGGCCAGGCGGGATTCTTGGCAGGGGAGAAGATGTAAATCTCGTAAAGACATTTATCGACGCCCTCCTCGCTGCGAAAGAGATATATACTGTCTCAGTGTGGGTGAAATAAATCCGGAGTTCGGACAACGTTAGTTTTGTTCCTTGGGAAACTATTTCTGTTCGATCCTTTGGAATTTCCGGTGTGGCCGGAGAGAAGAGGGAATGTAATTAAGGCCAAGGAAAAATGGCCCGCGATGCACCCCCGCACTTCCGGCTGGATGCATTATCTCGAATTCAGGATTCCAGAATGACTCCTCTCCGATTTTTCGCCCCTTTATCTCTTTTCCTCGATCATGCAGATCACGCAGGACCGATTTCCTCTGAAAGAAATTTTTACCGCCGACCATCGTTATCACGAAGTCATAAGTGATTCACGGAGAGCCTCGATCGAGGGCCCAATCGTGTCGAATTATAAGATGTACGGTAAAACACTAAAATATTTAAATATATCTCGTCTTACTCCTCGGGACGAGGAGGCGACGCAACCTTTACGAGAACATGTTCAACAGAGAGTGGAGGTGATAAGAGAAGAATAAACGTGCCGAGCCGCTTTTATGGAGAGTGAACGGCCTTTCGTGACGTTCGACGTTTCCTCGACGTCTCGTTAACGCTAACTCGTCGGGAAAAGAAACGGCCAGTCTTAATATAGAGGCGTAAAAAAGTATGGAGAGTAATTTCCCGGGCTGAGTGACTCGATAATGGGGAGCGGAAAGAGACGCGGGGTGTCACGTTTTTTAATCGGCCCGGAAATGCCGAGCAATCCAACGTAGCGTGGGATCGCGTTAATCGCGAGTATTTTCAGAATTAATTAAATACCGCGTAATGTATCGACCGCCTATCGA